TCCGCATAGCCAAGGAACACACACCTTTCAGCTCTATGAGACAACTTACTTCTCTGATGCTTGTGTAAGTGAATATAAGCAATACAACAAAAAACTCTATGTGTTAGTTTAACAATTTTAGGACTTACTACTGTATCTGTAAGTGATTGAAGAGGTGTTTTATACTCAAGAGACCTGGACGGTGTTTGGTTGATAGTGTATACAACATATGTGAGAGCTTCTCCCCAATATATTGTTGGCATGTGAGCTCCAATCAATGCAGCTCGGACCACCTCCAATAGATGACGGTTCTTTCGTTCTGTCACCCCATTCTGTTGTGGAGTATTTGGACAAGATCTCTGATGAACAATTCCTTTGGCTACTAAAAAATGTTGAACTTCTGATTACATATATTCTCCTCCGTTGTCACTGCGCAGTACCTGAACTTGTGCTTTGTACTGAGTCTCAATCATTTTGCAGAATTTCTGAAATAGTCCTCCAACTTCACTTTTAGACTTCATCAAACATAACCAAGTAATTCGAGTACAATCATCAATAAACGTTACAAACCACGTTGAGCCACCCAATGCTGTAACCTTAGATGTACCCCATACATTAGAGTAAATGATCATAAAAGGAAAATAACTTTTATTTGAAATTAAAGGAAAATATGTTCTATGACTTTTTGCAAGCTCACAAACATCACAATAAAAAGTTGAAGTGTCTACTTGGTCAAATACATTTGGAAATAATTTCTTTATGTAACCAAAAGATGCATGTCCTAAACGCTTATGTCATAACCAAATATCCTTGCATTTTCTTACTTCTTGATACCTTTTTGTTGCTAGCACTTGACAAAGTCTCTTTGAATTTTTTTTTCTGACAGGTCCAGGTAATACAACCTTCCTCGCCTAATACCATAACTAATCGTCTTCCTCGTTTGAATATCCTTAAAAACACAAGAGTCAGACCCAAAAATTATAACACATAAAAGATTTTTCGTTTTTTGCGAGATTGACAATAGGTTATATTTAAGAGAAGGAACAACAAGGACAATATTAAGATTCAAATTGTTTGAAATAGAGATACTTCCTTATCCAATAATAATGAATTTACTACCATTGGCTGTGGAAATACTTTTTTGTGAGGAAGGTTTAAGATTTTTAATCTGTCTAACATCAAAAGTCACATGATCAGAACATGCAAAGTCAATTATCCATGCATTATTCAGAATGGTAGATGTGTTTATTAAAGACTTACTATTGGAATCATCACTACCTGCGATTGTAGCAAACATCATGTCTTTGTCAATGACAGTTACAACAGTAGCAGTTGAATTTCTTTTTGAATTCTTCTTCGATGCTCGACTGTGATTCCACCACTCGGGGTATCCTATGATTTCATAGCATCGTTCCTTGGTGTGTCCATCCTTATTACACTGAGTACACTTGTAGTTACCTTTTTCAAAATCTTTTGATTGCTTCGATTTGCTGACTGCTTCTTTATCATTATAGCTGTAGAATCAAAAATCATATCTTCTATTTTCAACGTTATTCGTCAAACTGTCTCTCTCCGGATTAATGCATAGTATTCTTCTAAATCAGGTGTTACTTCCTTGCGCAAGATTTCTCCACGAACTTGCTCAAAATCATCGTCCAGTCCAGCAAGGAATATATGCACCTTAATCTTTCAATGGACTTCTGATATGACTTCACATCATCAGGGTCCTTCATGATTACTTTGTCACGATGGTCCAATTCCCTAAAAATCTCAACTAATTCCCCATAATATTCAGTTAAGGTTCTATTATTTTGTTTTGCAGTGAATGCCCTTTGATTCAAGGCAAACACTTGTAGCTCATCACTTCCATCATAAAATGCCTTTGACAAAACATTCCAAATATCGAGGGCAGTGGGTAAGTGAAGATACTTTTTCATGATTTCTGGCTTCATGGATATCAATAGTCATCTTTTCACTTTTTGGTTTTCAGCATATCATTTTTCATATCACTTATCGTGCTCTGTTGGAGGATTCACCTTCCCACGGATGTAGGACAATTTTTTCCTCTCTGCAATGTGCATCTCCATTAGTTGTTATCATACATCATAATTGAATTCATTTAGGATTATGTTTACGTTGAAGACATCTTCAGATTGAACAACCATTGAAATTGGTTTGTCTATCATCTTTTCAGCTTAAGATCTCCAATGATTTAGAAAGAAAAAGAAAAAAATTATAAACTCGGTACCAAATTGAAAACATAAAATTTATTCTATAATTTTTATTCATATTATTTTTGTATACGAGATACTATGATTTATAATATTTTATTCCAACAAATCAGGACTAAATAAAGAAAGTTATGATTATACAATATTTTGTACCGCTATACAAATTTATAATTTAGCTAATCAAATATCTTTATCAAAAAAAAAAAATATATATATATATATATATATATATATATATATATATATATATATATATATATATGTATGTATGTATGCTTAACTGTTACACTATCTACACAACTTTTGATATAAAAATCAGTGGTCCGATTTCCACACGTATCTTTAATTTTGATACTAAGGTTCACGCAACCTAAAGTTTAAATGACAACCTAAACCGTAATAGTTCTAAATTTAAAGAAAAATGAAGTTACTATATTTTTGTTAAATTTTAAAAATAGATGGCAATAAATGAAATATTTCGTTTATGCTCCTGAATTTTAACGAACGGGTAATTTAAATGATGTAATAGAGAAACACATGTCTTCTTTAACATCATTATATTACGTGTTTCATTAAATAAAGTTCCTTTACGTTGGATAGGAACATTATCCAGGCTTTGGTCAATTGGTCTTGTCCCTTTAATTATTTATTCATCTTTTGCTTACTTTCAACTGAAAATAATTTAAAATACCATAATAATTTGTTTTAATGCAAAAAGCTACTTTAATTGACTAGAAGGGAACACAAATTGAGTTGGTCTCAGAAACCCACTTATGATAATTATTTGAATGTTTTAGGGTCAATCTTTCTCTAAAAGTTGAACTTTGAGGGTCACCAAATACAATCATGGAGTTACATTGGAGATAAAAATGACCATGCATTAACATCAATTTGGGATAGGATAAGATAAGATTTTGTTTAACTTTTCTTCTGGGTAGGTTAAGGTTTCCTTACAATATTGTGTAATATTTATTTTTCATGAAATTTTAAAATTTGAACTTTTTTTCCGCAAAAGAAAACTTATTTATTATGATATTGTTTATTTAGAGTTATATGATCCAATAAAATGATTATATGGATTTTATATTTTAGTTTTGATGTTTGGTAATAAGAAAAATCAATTGATAAAGTATAATCTTGACAAAATGTTACAATAGCGTATTTGGGTCTTACCTTTATTTGATGATATTAAGTGATGTTTTATTTTTGTTGTTTTGTTTGAATACTGTTAAGTCCTTAGAATAGTGAGACCAATACACCTACATGATTTGGTTGTAGGGTCCCATCGGATAATTGCAAATCTATTATACAACATCTCTACTCGAATACTTTGTTACGCTCTTGGAGACTAACATAAAGTGTTAAAAAATAAGAATGCATTTTCCTGATACGTTTTAAAGATAAAAGTATTACGATAAATTTAAATGAATATTATCATAAACATAAAACTTAATTCTCTAACGATATTATATCATAATGGACATAAGATGGAACATAACGAAAATAGTATTATATAAAAACTATAAATCTTTTTAAAATAAACATTATCCCAAAATAATGTTTACAAAGTTAATAATAAAACATGGACGATAAATTAAAATAACATTGTCCTAACATTTTCATAAATATGATAAATGGACAAAATACATAAAGAACACTATTTAAATAATTGTGTTAGACATCAAAATTCACTTTGCATATCAAAATATAATTAAAAACAAGTTTTTTTTTTCCTATAATGTCAACATTTACTACTTCAAAGAAATGATTTGTGAAGATGAGATACTTTTATATTTTTGTGGAGTCATGAACTACATAGAGGTGTTACCACTTCTAACATGCTTTAATGATGTTCTTTTTCTTATTATGCATGCCAAAAGGTAAATTTTAAAATATCAATCACCACAATCAAGATTTTTTAGTTATACTCCAATCTTATTCACCATTTGCATTATACAAATTCTAACATTTTAGACATTTTATTTTATACATATAAATAATGTTAGATATATTTAAATTAATTATTATTAATTAGTTATATCATATTTTAAAATTTATTGACTTTTTTTTTTTTTGAAATTTCGCAAATCATTTAACAAATAACACTGATCTCATCAATTACACAGCACTACAAGGGTTGAAAGATATCTTATTTTTGGTATTTCCTTTAACAAGATATTTCAAAAAATTATTGAAATCAAACCATTTATTATGAGATAAATCACAATATATGAAAGAGATAATTTTTCTTTTTTATGTTGGTTTGTCCTCATAAGATCTCATTTATATATTGACAACACAGCTACAATCAAATTTAAAGATTCGTAAGACCAAATATTTTCAAGATGTAATAAATTACACTCCAATTTAATTATTATGTGACTAGTGAATGTCAAATTTATTTATTAAGTTTTTATACTGGTCTTACAGTATCGTGTTATAAGATAAAAAATAAACTTCTGTCAAGAGCAGATGAAAAAAAAAAATCTGATTAAAATAACTGAAAAAACAATTTTTCAACGTATAAGGACCAAAATTAAAATCAAAGTAAACTATAAAAGCCGAAAACTCATTTAAACCTAAATTATTTATTGGACACGGACACTTAAACGACATCGTCAAAGGGGATGTGAGCGTGAAGTTTGTTTCGGCCGTGATCCAGTGTGGCGCATCTCAGCCAATGATGGTGTTTTTCCGACCAAAAAAAGACCAATGACGAAATTTCTGCTTGAAAATACTAAGAAAATTGAAAACCAATAGTAGACCACCTCACAATCACAAGAGACACCGATGATGATGATGATATTAAAGCAACATCTAGTGTAAGAGAGAGAAAACAAAGGTGGTTCCTTTTCATGTGAATTTTGAGTGATCCATTGATTCTTCATCTACCATCTGCTTATCTGCGTGGAAAAGGAAGAGGGAAAAAGAAATTGAAATGGGTTGGATTCCTTGTTCTGGAAGTTCAAACACTAAGAAGAAGCTAAAGAAGAAGTTGGAGAAGATGGAAGTGCAGAACAGCCTGGTTGATCCGATCAAAGCCACCCCAGGTAGTGATGTTGTTGGTTTTGTTGGAGTTGGGTGTAAACACAAGTTATCAATGGTTTGTGATAGCAAGACCCCTCTTGTGAGACTTGTGTTTTCCCTAGATTTCTGTTACTCTTTTGATGAATATTAACTGGGTTTGAATAATAACAGTAATAATAATATGTCTCCTCTTGCTTTATATGGGGTGTTTTGTAATAAATGAAATTTTGTGAATTTTAATTTTGTATGCATTTGGTAGACCAGATTGAGGCCAGGATGAGCGAAACTTCTCTGGTTAAGATAGGTGGAATTTGATATAGAAATATGACCGGCTGCCTTTATTTAACGCTTTCTGCACGTCTGTTGTGTTGAATTTAAGAATTTGTGTATTGAATTTGTTTCCTTTAGCCTATGGGTTTCCTCATCCACGAAGTATATATGTCAATTATAAAATCGTACTGAGATGGTAATTTGAAATGATGCATCCTATGAGACAAAGTCAGTTTGTGATTCTTTCTCTGTAATTTGGAAAATGAAACTTACCTTGTGGTAGTTTCTGAATCGTAGACACTCAAGAAACAAAAGTTGGTCTTGGATGTTAAATTTAAACCTGCTGTTGTTTATGTTTCTTCCCAACTAAATTATTAGTCTTTGGAGTGGAATGCAGGGAAATTGAAGAGGAATTCGTCCATGAATTCCAAAGATTCCTCTAAAAATGGAAACGCTGATCACATTGCTGCACAGACATTCTCATTCCGTGAGTTGGCAACTGCTACTAGAAACTTCAGAGCTGAATGTCTTTTGGGTGAGGGAGGCTTTGGCAGAGTATACAAAGGGCGTTTGGAAAATATTAATCAGGTGAGTGTGATACTCTGATTTCTGTGTTTATGAAGAATATGAAATTCTAAGCGAAATGAATAAATGCTTCATTGTAGATGTTATTCATAATTTCTCCCTGATCCATGTTGCTTTTGACAGCCAAACTAACACCTCATGAGTTTTGCAAGCATGGATATGAAGTTTAATTTTATGTAGTTTGATATGGCAACACATTTCATGCTTTCTAACGTTGAATGTAGATTGTTGCAATTAAACAACTTGACCGAAATGGGCTACAAGGGAATAGAGAATTCCTTGTTGAAGTGTTGATGTTAAGTCTTCTTCACCACCCTAACCTTGTCAATCTAATTGGTTATTGTGCTGATGGGGATCAAAGGCTTCTAGTTTATGAATTCATGTCATTAGGATCATTGGAAGATCACTTACATGGTATTTGTATTACAAATTTTCGTGTTATCACTTTCCATTCTTTATGTATTGGCTTCAAGTAGATATTGGTGATAAATGTTTGAAACTCAGATATTTCTCCTGGGAAGAAACGACTTGACTGGAACACACGGATGAAAATAGCTGCTGGGGCCGCAAGGGGGTTGGAATATTTACATGACAAAGCTAATCCTCCTGTCATATACCGAGATTTAAAGTGCTCCAACATTTTGCTTGGTGAAGGATATCATCCCAAGTTATCTGATTTTGGTCTGGCTAAACTTGGTCCTGTGGGGGAAAACACCCATGTATCAACAAGGGTTATGGGAACCTATGGATATTGTGCTCCAGAGTATGCAATGACAGGCCAACTGACTTTGAAATCAGATGTTTATAGCTTTGGTGTTGTTCTTCTGGAAATAATTACTGGAAGGAAAGCAATTGACAATTCAAAATCTGCAGGAGAGCAGAATCTGGTTGCATGGGTAAGAAACTTGTACTGTTATCTCATCTCATAGGTCTGAGTGGTGATTTATAAACAGCAAGGCTTTCTAATAAATCATCAAATATAATATTCTGGATAGCTTCATTTGCATATTAATGATGGCCAACAGGTAGTGTGGTGTGGTGTGGTGTGGTGTGGTTTGAATAAGGAAGGCAAGTATTTCAATATGAATTGGGCATACTTGGCAAATTGTACTTGCTTGATTGGATCTGTTAGAATTTGTGGAAAGTGTTGAAAGTCTACATTAATTATCTCTTATCTCTCCATTTATTGTAAAAATTCTGTTTTTATATGTAATCAGGTAGCAAGATATGATTTTTATTAGGAAACTATTTTATGTCTTTCCTAAATATAGGATTTGCAAATTGGCTATTTCCTTTTTCATAGGGATTTGCTATTATGAAGCCCTAAATGTTTGCTCCCTTTTTTTCTCTATAATAGGAGCTGTTTTGTATCATTTTTGAAATAGTGCAAAATATTACCTTCCAAGTGAAATCATTTCCACTGAAATAGTTAATAATTCTCAGTTATGTCTTAATTAAAAAGCAACAAAACATTGTTTATAATTAATGATGTATTGGAGGCTTTGTGATTCCATCCTCTTTATTTTATTCCCTTCTCAATAAATTCTTCTCATAAAAGGAAATCCCTTTTACTGTGATGTTTAAGTTGGTGCTCAAAGTTCTGCATATCCCATAAACTCTGACTTGCTTTAGCTTATTCAATTTTATTTTGAAATTGGATAACCTTATTTAAGTAATTTGATTAAACTGCAGGCAAGACCCTTATTCAAAGATAGAAGGAAATTCTCACAAATGGCTGATCCAATGCTGCAAGGTCAATATCCTTCAAGAGGGCTATTCCAGGCCCTTGCTGTTGCAGCTATGTGTGTTCAGGAGCAGGCCAATATGCGTCCAGTTATAGCTGATGTTGTCACAGCTTTGAGTTACCTTGCTTCACAAAAATATGATCCCAATACAGCTTGTTCTCGCCTTGCTCCTGGTACTCCTCCTAGAACCAAGAGGGGATAGTGATATGGAGCTCAATGTTTGTTAGTTATATGATAGTCTGGTGCAAATTTCAAATATCTTACAGCACACTGCAAGATAGATGTTAATACTGGTTGTCTTATGTTGTTGTTTTTCCTTCATAGCATAGTTGCTAAAAATGTTGTAAAATTTTGTTCTACTGGTGCATAGAACTGCTCCTATTTCCGTTTGGAGCCAAGATGGTATATCCTCTTCCTTTTCCCATAGTTTCTATTTAGAAGCAAATTGCTGGATTCATGATTCATGTTCCTTCTGTCTTGGCAATTGTTCCAGCGGTGTACCAGCATTCCATAGTTGTCTATTTTTCTTTGTCCTGCTCGTTTGTATAGTAACCAAGCTCTATAAAATTTGGGTTTTTCAACCAAAAAAGCATGACATAATATCATGTGTTGTGTTCTACTTTTGTCTTGTTTATAAGTTTATATTGTCGGGTATAGTTTTTCAATGTAACTATGTATACTGTTTTTTGCTGCAGGGTAATTGCTCATTAACACACTTTAAAAATAGCACATACTTGACACGAGTTTCCTCTGCATTTACATGTGCACGGTTATGATGATTAAATGTCGTAATATAATCCCAATAAACAAACTACAATATGCTGAAATGGAAAACGAATAGCGTGTCCAGGGACCTAAAACAAACCTATTCAGCGAGGAACCTAATACTCGTTTTCTTTATGGGATGTTGTTGGGAGAGAATTTTCGGTAAGTACGTAGTTTAATCAAGTAAACAGATGTGCTGATAGTAAGGACACCGATTTCGGCTTGCACTCATCCCGATTTTGCCTCAAATAATCTATTAAAAGGTTATACTTCAAAAAAATTGAAATTGAAAACGATTTGGTTACACAGTAACTGAGGTCTAAACTAGTTTATTCAAAGGTGGTTATTTTATGAGTTATCTCAAGCAAAGGGGTTGCACTTCACATTATAGTCATTAATTACTACATGAATTGTTTCAATTTATTCATATGAATGCGTTTTACCACAATCTTAATCACTGACTTCGTAATCAGTGGTTATTTAAACAATTTGTAGTAGTTTTTTTCAGAAAAAACTAAAATGAGAATTATTTTCATAGAATAAGTCCATGGAGAGTGAAGGTTAAATACTATTTGTCACATAATTTTTTACATTTTGTCCGAATTGTTCATGTATGTTGGATGAAGGAAGCACTGTTTGCACGAGTTTAACTACGGTAATGGCACGGTTGTTCAGCCTAAATTTATTACAAAAACAGATGAAGACCCAATGTTTAAGATTGGCTGTGTTAGTGTCGAAGACTGTATGTGCCTAACTTTAAATGTTGAAGTTACCATCGAATGTTAGTCAAAGACAGGATGAACTTTCTACAGCTAATTGGCCTATCAACATTTAAAACTTTCCTTACACTGGATTCCTCCCCTAACTTTATGACACAATTAACAGAGAAGGGCAGTGATAATTAGAAATAGTTAAGAACTCCTAAGTAGACAGGAAAGCAACTTCTAGTGGCACTGCTCTGCGAAATCTATCTATCAGTTACTTGGTTATCGGATTCTTTTTTCGGAGAGCCATTATTATGCAAGCTTTCGCCAGATTCCTCGGACTCAGCATTTGGTTTGCCCTGTTTCATAGGATGTGTAAGTGATAATTATTACAATAATAAGCTTCGATCAGAAGAAAAAACCCCAGTAAAGTATGGACATTTACTATTTGGGAACACCTCCAAAGATGTAGAAATACAGGCAACTGGGAGAGGAGAGGTCAGAGAAAAGATTTTTTACCTTGATTCTGTCGCGCCAGCCAAGTCCAAAACTTAGCAGACCAACTTTCCGGGAGGGATTTGGGCTTTGTGCACGACCAGACCTACAAAAATAACTCCAATGAAGTTGGCGAGGAAAATTTGGTATCCAAAAATAAATGGATTTAGCATAATATAGCATACATGCATTAAGCTATTTCTATTGGAATTCCTTCCCCACAAATCCATGTGAACTGGGTTAAGTCCAAAGGACTAAGATGACAGAACAGACATTATCTACCCTGAAGTGATTAAGCATTAGCAGCCAGCCACAACTGTAAAACTTAAAGATCAAAGCTTACAACCTTATATTAGAAAATCATTTGAAATTTGAAGGTTTCTCAGAATACTAAGAGTGACCAATTCTTTCAATATAACTTTTATTTTGGAGTTACTTCTAGCTCGGAGAAATGCAAACAATGATATTTACTCAGTGACTCCAACCCTTTCATTCAAGGCCCAGATGCTTCATTGCTATTCAGTTTCGTCAAGGAACCATAAGCCATTTAGGGCCATTTGAAAATATTTTCCTGCATGTCATAATTTACTTAAATACAGCACAGAAAATACTTAACTTGTTTTGCAATACAATATGGGGCCATTTAAAAAAAAAAAATTCGCATTTCATAGTTTACTTAGTACAGCACAACAAATATTTAACTTTATTCTGCAATACAATGTGGGGCTTCAAAGAGGCTGCTATTTTCATCTGTTTTAAACCAGGAGATTATCTAAAGTTGTTTTAGTCTGCTATATGGTATCTATCAAGGAAAAAAATATAAAAGTAAGCCCTGCTAATAATCGTAATAACAGACAGTTTGTGAACAAATTTCTCAAACAGGTTTATGAAATTATGAATGCTTAATTGGAGGTTCATAAATGAAATTACAGTGGTCTTGATATATTGAGTTCCAAGAGCTTGTGCCAAGGGAAATTATAATTTATAACAGGCAATAACTATAATAATTTTGGCAAAGAAGATACAGTTGAATGCAGAACCCAAAAATGTGATATCTAAAGTATTTGTACCGTGGAGAAAGTGCTTTGGATTGGCCAGATTCATATTGAAGGGTAGCCTCCAACATACTTTCTGCCATGACAACTCGCTTTTGCATGTCAGCAATTGATTGCATCGCCTTATCATACTTTTCCTGCATATTTATTATACTGGAAATAGATGTAATCATGTCTAGTAAGATCCTTAATAATTAGCAGTGTGGTAACTTATTTCTCTCTGGGAAATGGATCTACCCATCTTATTAAAAAGCTAATGTCATGGTCATGCTGTGAGGGTATTTAGATTAAACAACGATAAAAAAAAAAAAAAGAAATTAAGACCAAACTCATTGTTTTTAAAATGTAGGGACTAAGGAATTGGAACAGAAAATTGACGGATCTAAAATACATTTTACCCTTAAAAACAAAGATGGAGAAAAATAGTGTTTCTCAATAATAATTAACTTCATCCATTTAGCTAAAAAAAGGAAAACCTTCATCTGTCGCACATTGTGAGCTAAATGCAACCACTTAGCAAGGAATATTTTCTTTCCCATGAACATTACCCAGAGAAAAGAAAAAGTACATATATTACATAACGACAGATTTGCAGTATATAGATTATTTTACTTCTAAACTACTCATGCATGTTCTATTCTTATCAGGCACGTGAGACATATAGAAAACTACCAAGAACTATAGTAAGGATTAGTTAAAAAATATTAAACACATAATGCATCTGAATGAAATTCAGATTTAGATGAGGATTTTTTATCAGTGTCATCACCGTTCATAAATGAATTTTTTATAGTAAACTTCACTAGTTTCTTTTTAGGAAAACTGAGAAATGATATTTTAAGTATGATTTCTGTTTGCAAATTTTACTCCACCGCAAAACAGTAAAAGTGAATGACTCGAATCACAACAATCATAAGACGGGAGAAAGACTACCTGAAGTTCATGAACTTCTAATTTCTGAGCTGCAAGATCTTGCTCTGCTCTTCTGCGAGCATCTTCAGTAACTTTTTGGTCCTGCTCTAGCCGCACTAGAACCTGTAGCATGGAGAAGATTCAAAGTTTTCTACACGATACACAAAGACATTCTTCTTAATCGCTATTTATTTATTCATTTTTGCATATAAGCTTACAGAAATAGACACTGGAGAAAACAGGTGCACACTAGAACCTGCAGCATGGCAACTTCTTGTTCTTTCTTATCAGCAAGGGCTTGTTGTAACTCAGCTACCTCTTGCTCCAACTGCTCTACCTGTATGATTACAAACAATTTTGTAAGCCTCACAAGCCAAAGGAACAGAAGAAAAATGTGTTTGTAGAGAAAAAGAAATCATGAACACAATACATGGAAACTAAACAAGCCTCCCTTGTATTTATGCTTTTTTTTAAGGAGTTAGGTAATTATTTTCACTATGTTGTTTTCCATCTCAACTATGTTAGCACCACAAACAACATCAATCATATGTAGTACCTTAAAATATCATTAAAAAAAAGAAGAAAATAACAAAATAGTGGGGGGACCAAACCTGACCCCCCAATCCCTAACCCTATAAAAGGGTAAATCATATCTATCCCTGAAAACTCAGTACAAATGAAGGTCAGAACATTATCCCACCAAGTATAAATCTGAGATCTAGTGCCAAACACAACAAGTTTATCATTGATTACTTTCAAAGATTTGTCTAGCCTTTGGATCCACAGCAAGAATCACACCCATCAGCTCCACATATAACGCATTATGAACACCAAGATATAAAGAGAAACATCCCACATGAAAATCTGATGATCTCTAAAATACTCCCACAACCACAACCAGATACACCAGGAGAACCTTTAGTCATCCCATCAGTATTACATTCAGACCAAGGGCAAGGAGGAGGAAGCCAAAAAAACAGGCATATAGGATGCAACCTTCCAAGGATGTATATCTAGGCCAAAACTTTTAAGAATAATGAACTCTCACATTGGTCTTCATACAATCTGTACAACAATTACCAGCCCAATTGACCTCAACATAAATCATGTTTTTAATTCTGTCATACGATAGTGTATGATTGTCAAAGCAGACCTTGTTTCTGGTTATCAATGTATCATTCTCTTTTATCTCTCTACCTAATCTCTTAATTTCAACAGCTTCAAATATATATATCAATAACAAACCTTAATACACTAGGTGGGGAACTACATGGATTTCCCAATGCTTTTTGGCTTTATCAAACACCATAATCATAAAATCCATATAGTGAGGTATTTTTTAATGATTTCTCGCATTTTCTTTAGCCTTCTTCTGCCCCTGTTTAGCATACTACTTCCATTTGATCCACTTTTGCACAAGGATATTTGTGTACGACGGAAAGGCAGGGGGAGAGGAATATTGATCAATAGATCTTGTCATGAATTGTCAAGTTTATAACACAAAAGTTATGTGACTCTTTTTTAGTGGTCATGTGAATTTAAACAACTTTTAATCTTGATTATCCATATGCAGTTCTATGACCAAAATTTACACAATATGTATTAAATATGGCAAGAAGAAAAAATAATTTCTATTTTTTATTTTTACACATATAATAAACACATACTTTCAATAAAATACCAAAAATATGAAAAATCACACAAGATGAATCATCCAAACAGATATACCATTGCACTCAACTCCAGACGATTATCTTCCTTCACCATCTCCACTAAAGCTGTTTCTAGCTCCTCAGCTCTGGTCAAGGTTGGAAACACACACATGGAAACGAATTAATTGTCTTCAGAAGATATCATGACGATATAACACAGTTATAATATTAACAAAGAAGCATGGGGAATGAAGAAGGAAAGATACAAATAAGACATCAAAAAGTTCTAAAGGTAATGCATTATAAAGATTTATTAAGTTTGGTTTACCAGCTAGAAGACCTTATTGGAATATAAAGCCAGTATACAAAATGAAGACTATTTCATAAATGGGTTGACAATATGGCACAAGGTATGGTTAATATGCATTTATTGTTGGTTGGGAACTATTTCCGAACCCATTTTTTGGCTAGGTGGTTAGATTACAAGCAAGAAGACCTAATTGGAGTATAAAGTTAGAATGCAAAAATGATATTACACAGGTATTTAGCTGGTAAAGGCTACATAGAAGAAAACAAATTACACTTAATAATCAGAAATAACTTCCTAGTTAGAATCCTAAACAAAATCTTTTTAATTCTAGTGGTTTCAAAACTGATACACAAAAGATTTTTTCATTTAATTTACAACATCTACATTTAAAGCTTGACACCTCCCTCAAGCTGCCCTATAGATGTGTGTACCATTCTCATCTCAGTAATTAGAACATGGAGATTAGAGCTTCTCAGCCCCTTGGTCAGCACGTCAATTACCTGCTGTCGAGATGGAATATGTTACATGCTAGACCTTCTTCTAGCTTTCCTTGATTAAGTGTCTTTTTAATATGCTTTGTTCTATCATGTTGTATAGGGTTTTGTGAAATTAATTGCTGCCTGCTTGTCACAATAGAGCTTCATAAGTCATTCCCACTTGACTTTCAAGTCATCTAGGATTATTTTATCCGTTGCAGTTTACACACATCTTGACCAATAATATTGAATTTTGATTCTACATATGATCTTGCTACCCCATTTTTTTAATAATGGATCATAGCACTTATATCCTTTATGAGTGGTGGAATAATAAAGGAAAATATACTTGACAGCCCAAGGATCAAGTTTGTCTCTATGTTGGCTATGAAGATGAACAAAGGTTGTAAAATCAAATATTCTACCAATGAATCCATTTGAGGTCTGGAAGTGAGGATTGAAGCTGTTCAAGACCACTATGGAATTTCTGTTGTCCAGTACATGTGAGAGCGTGTATTTATTATCTATGGTGCAGTGAGTAACCTGTTGTAAATATGTAACTAAAAAAATAAATAATATTCATATTTCAGAATTACTATTCCTTGTCAACTTGGCCTTTCCCCAATAAGATTTAGCAACCTTTTTCTGAAGGAGAAGATGGGAAGTGTATTGAGTAAGTGTTCATTTTTCCGTCCACCCCATTTTGTTGGGGTGTGTTGACACATGGTGGGTCATGGATATTTCCTTGTGATTGAAGTAAGGAGATAGCTGGATGGAAATAATCTCTGGCAACCTGGCTCTTTTCTTTCTGGGATTGATCCAACTTAGGAACTAGAACAAAACCAACTAATGGTTGTGGCCTGAGCAAAACATTCTTCCTGCTCTCCTCTGCTTCGCTATGGATATGGTCTCTTCTAAGGAAGATGTGCCAATTTTTTCTAAGAATCTAAACTCTAACCTGACCAAATTCAGGGTTCAGAACACTTTTTCTCAATGAAGGCCATTGAAATGAGGAAGCAAAGAGCAAAAGTTGCAGCAAAACCCTAGAGACCTGATCATGTCAATCAGAAGATATTTTGTGATCACTTACCATTATAATTTGATTGTTTCTTCTTTATTCCTAATAAAATAGGAATAAGATACACCCTATTAATTGCATATGTTTAGAACGTTTCTGTATAGTTTTCGTCCCGGTAATATACTACCCTTTTGGTTTTGGCCCTTATATTTTTGTTAAATGCTCCTTGTAAAATGGTCCTTGTTATTTTGTTTTAATCCTTGTAAAATGCTTTTAGTCATACCACTATTTCAAAGGGATTCACTAAAACAAACAAAAAAATATTAGGGACTAAAATGAAAATAGATATATTACAAGGACCAAAATATAAAAAGGTAAATTTCACAAGCAGCATATTATTACATTGATCAAAAGTATATTTAGATCTATTTAGAAATATCCGGAGTCCCCATTAATTACGGATATTTAGAGTTCCTGATTTAGGTTGTATAAATTAGGAATTAAAATTTTCGTCATTAATAGTTGTGAATGCATCTTTTCTATTTATGGAGGAATAGAGATAGGAAAAATGAATCACAACCAATTTTTCTGATAGATAACTTTGGAAAATCACAACGAAGAGAGAATAGAATCATTCTCATTGACTTCTGAAAAGAATCCCTTAAGGCAAGGATTTTCAACTTCAGATTTTAGGTAAACTTAAAAAAAAAATCTTATATTGAACGCCCCTTAATTCCAAGGATTTCCAATCTAATGCCCTAAAATAATGTACATTTAATTTACAATAATGTATAGGTAGACAGTTTTTGCAATTATATTCTAGAAACCTTCAAACAACTTTCGTTTACAAGTAGCAAGCCAGGGAAAAAACAAGTTTTAAAAATGCTTGAGTTACAATTTGAACACCAAAAAGAACAATAACCTGAGTATGGCAGATCTTTTATCCTCCAGCAACCTGCATAATTCAACCTTCAACCAAACCACCTGCACAGAAGCTGTTAATGATTGAAACTTAAAGAGTTGCACACTACTTGATATAATAGAGTAACTATTTATAGTGAAAATATAACTCTAAAGAAAATCAAGCCAGGAAATTAGACTATGAAATGTCATGAATTTAATATATAATGAACTTGTGGTTGAAGATTGGAAAGACTACTGTCATACGCAGCCAACTGAAATAGGCATAATACAATGGAATATTACTCGATGGGTTTTGCATCTATACTCGCAACATCAGTCATGCCAACCAAGCCATTCAATGGACCAATTAACAACAATCCGTCCCCACTACCCCAAACATAAATGTCCATGAAGAGGAGTGTCAGCAGTAATCTTTCTAAATTCTAACACATTCTCTATTGTAGGTTAAAATTTGTTGAAAACTACAAAATCAAGAGGTCATTAAATACTGAGTGGGACCCACAAAATTTTGTAATTTCCAATAAATTTCAACCATTATATAGAGAATAAGTTCAAAAGGGTATGTTAGAAGGTGTGTTGTTAGTATTCCTCATCAAAGAATATACAACCACATTCTACATTCTTACCTAATTGCATTCTTTTAATCGAAGAATATGGCATCCACTTATCCTCCATTTTCTTTCAAAGTAAACAGAATTTTTCCTATATTTTCAAACAGCAAACCAAGTTGCTAATGTTTATTTCTTAATGTGTACATTTTATTTTATTCTATTAATAGTGTGCACAATAATCCTCTATAAATTATTTACACAAAACAAAGTTATACAAGCATTTTTAACAGCCTGACTATGGTGGAACAAGAAATCCAAAATATAACACAACTTACACAAGTAGATTACCTTCCTCCAATTTTACTCCATAACCACAATTTTGTTTGATCAATAATAGGAATGCAAAAAGACGAGACATGACAATTTAGGGTCTAAAGAATTCGGGAAAGATAAATTTTGTAATCTGTAAAATGTATAGTATTATTAATTATTAACGATTAAGTTACAATACTAAAATATTTGCACAATCAGAAAGCTTGAGCTTCAAGCTAGTCAGTTAAGATCTAATTGTTCTATAATAGACTCTAGCTATGATGTATGGATATGATGAATGTCGGATACAATATTCAATCCAACGATACATTTATTCTAAAAAAAGCAGGATACAATACGCTTAAGATACTTATTTAAAAATGTACAAGAATTCAGAAAACATAATATATATATATATATATATATATATATATATATATATAAAACTACAATCATGCAAATGCAAATGCAAATTTCAAATCACATTTCTTAAATATTGTGGAAATAAAAAAATAAATCATTGTCATTATAAAATATTTTTATTATTTAGATAGAGGAATAGTACTATGAATCTCATTACTTTCTAAAAATAGTTCATAACGAACAATTTGTTTTTGTTTATGAAAAAAAAAATATTTATGTTTCTATTTTATAGATAGATATATGTTTTTTGAACTTTTATTGAATATAAAAGATTTTAAAGCTTGGACATTTCATTAATATACATATTGGTGAAGTATCTAACAATATTGTATGTGAAACAAATAAAAGTATTGATACTTCATATACTTAGATATTTCATCCATAAGTACTAGTGAAGTATCGATGAAATATTAGACTCGATATGTATCAGACATAGATACATAAAGCAAATTGAAGTACTGGTGCTTCATAGAAATTCAGCTATCCTAAGAGAATGACACCTGGCTAGAGTTAAGATGTAACTGTTCCACAACAGAATCCAGTTGTCCCAACAGATTCACAACTGGCTAACTAACAATTACACTCAGCTTAACATGCTAGCAGAGAAAAGTCTAACACTAAGTATACTATCAGGGTCTAAATCTAAAACATGGAAATTTTTCAAATCTTCAATGTCAAAAACTATTGAAGAGCCAGAATATGTAAAAAATCATTCAATATAATCTTATTTCGATTCCTTTTCAACCTTTTAAGTGGAACTGACTAAAATGCTGTACCAGAGACAGAATCATAACATGACAGCAGCAACTATGAAAAATGAACTTAACCAACGAAGCATATTATCACCACTAGAAAATTAGTTATGCACATATTTCACATCAGGTGTCTTATTTCACATTGTAAAGTATGCAAGCATCTTTTAACACAAACAAAATAACTATGTTAACCTGACTTGTGATAGAAAAAGACAAAAGTCACATCCCAAAGGCATATCAATAGAATAAGGTAAATTTTTAAGTCAAATTCGTGGTTAATGGTAGTTAAATTTCAATATACTTCACAAACACAGGACCTTTTCAGGGGGAGGAGAGAATGGAAGAGGAAAGTGAATGCTGAGGTGTAGACTGTAGAGGAAGTAACCTGATCCTGGAGATCTGGAAGGGCCTCCAGTTCTGAATCAACATTGAGGCTATTGAGCATTTCATCTAAATTAGAGGAACGAGACTCCACACTCTCATCAGCTACTGCATCACTTCCTTCAGTGGTTTTTCTTTCCTCTACCAGAGACCTTGGCTCATGTTTGAAACTATACAGTTTAGTTGCAAGCCCTTTAGAATCCTTCAAAGCCCTTCCCTTCATTGATCTTTCTTCTATGACAATTAATACAGATGGGAGATGTTTTTCTCTCAGTTCCTTCAATCTGGCCTCAGTCACTGCTAGATAACCCATACAAGCAGTAAGGACAAGCTGGCTGCTGTCAAATGTTGAACCAACAAGCGATTGCAATAACGTAATTGCATCACCTGCATCTTTTGTTGTAACTAATGCAGGACCTAGAATAAGAGATGAAAAATTTTGTTACTTTAAAGAAATATAAACAATTATTTAATTTTCACAACTTAGACATGCTAAATTGCACACATAACTCGTACACACATGAAAGTAAAATTCAATACCATATAATTCCATTAGAGAAAGTGCTGTTCGAAATAGCATAACACGGTTCCCTTCAAATAGTAGCACATCCCAAACTCGAAGAACTAAGTTGGAGAAACACAAGGTAAAAAACATTTATGAATAAACAAAATTAAAAATCAACACTATAATATTAAAAGACAAAAAGATTCACTCCATATAAATCTCACCACTTTCCCAAGGAATTATGTTTACAAAGATTGATAGAAACCAAGATCCAGATATCCATGGCACCTGCACTCCCAAGTAATCCAGATGATTAACTGCACCAAAAGCATCAGTAGAATAAAAAAAAAATCCAAGCTGATTCAAAGAGACAATTACTAGAAGATTACTGAAGAGCAAAGATAATAAATACAAACCAAGTTTAGGAAATCTTTCACGCATCAATTCTTCAAAAATAAGCTGGTCCACCTGACACATTAAAAGCTTCCATGATTGCAAAGAGAATTACAAGTTCCACAATACTACAATTATCAAAAAGGGCATGCTAGGGATGGCAAAACGGGCCAGCTAACTCCGTTTTGGCCCGTCCCGCCAAAAATGGGGGCGAGGCAGGCTGGCCCGCTATAGTCATGACGAACTATAGACCTTGGTCCGCCCGCCAAGGGACGGGTTGGCGAGCTGACCCGCCATAATTTAAAAAAAATAATTTATTTTTTTAAATCAAAATTTTTAATAAATTTAATAATAAGATTATTATTTGTTTGTCAATAATTCAATATATATATTATTTCAATTTAATAATATAAATCAACATATTATTTTAAGAAATTATAATTTAGAACAATAATAACATTTACATAATAATAAATAATAACAAATATATATATATATATATATATATATATAAATAACGTTAAAACTTATAAAATTTATATTTTTTATATTGAAAATTTTAAATATCTATATCTTTTTTATTTGATAAAACCTCATATTGTTTTCGTTTGAGTAATTCTTACACCTTTAATTCAAGTCATAAGGATAAGAATAATCGGTGCTTAGGATGAACAAAGAAAACAGGAGAGAAGCTTATGTTTCAAGTAAAGAGAATCTTTTCGTGAAAGTGAACTTTTTTAATTCTCTTCTTAAAATTTTTTAACTTTATATATTATCTTTACAATTAACTTTATTACAATAAAAATTTACTTTTTTATTAATTAGGCGGATTGAAAACACCAACTCGTCCGCCATATTATGATGGGCTGAGGGTCGACCTGCAGAGCCTAGCTCGTTTTGCCATCCCTACATGTGACTCGGGATACAGGATAAAGAAAGTTTCATTTCTAAAAAGAAGAGAAAAAAAAAAAGGACAGTAAAATGATCATTACTTGGGATTCTATCATATCCTCAGTATAATAGCCTGCAAAATATTCATCAATAATGCCAACAAATGCCCTGAGATATCCCAATAAAACATTAGATAATATAAACTGAAGATAAACCAAGTTTTGTGTGTTAAATAATACAAAATTACGATCATAACTTTAAATAAACAGCATTTTTAGAAGATCGTGTTTACCTAATAATCAGCTAACGAAAGAAAAAATTGGTGAAAGTATATGTGAACAAGTCTGGTCACATCTTCTCTCTGTACAATTAAGCCCAGAGTTATGCAGACCAACTATAGGTCCACATATAAACATGTTTGCATTTAACAAGCTCACAATTAACAGACCAATCCACATACCTACTAGTCTTATTTCTCTCCCTCTAAAAATACTAGATTTGTAGCTGCTCCAAATGGTCAGTGTGGGTCAGTCCAAAAAATTATTTTTATGAAAAAATATTTACATATATATGAATGTGGGTAAATGGGTTTGGTTAAACAGTTGCTCTTCAAGCCCACAGACGAAACCCATTTAATCCCTATATTTCTCAAATCAATATGTGTACATCTGCAGTCAAACAAATCAAGATTTTGCCTACCCCAAGATATTCTCTATGCTGGAAAGTGAGACTGACAAGGGTATATATAAGAAAGTTTCCCAAACCTACCAAAAGGCATTTTCTTCAGGCATAAGAAGTAGCAATAAACCAGCAAAGAAATTCATTGCCTGCAAGTATTAAAATAACATAATTCAATGACAGGTTATGATGATGATGGCAAAGAAATTTTGAGACACCCACCAGTGAAGAACTTTTACGTACCATCAAAGACCACCACCACCACCACCAAAAAAAACAAAAGCAATAACTATGGGAATGCATGCTCAGTATATTACCCCCCACCCCCCATATTTCACACTTTACAGGACACAATTTTCAACTGACTGTAACAATCATAAGGCTAAGAGGGGAACCATCCCTCAAAAGCTAGCTTAAGAGGTTGGAGAACCTCCCACCTTATAAGGCCTCTCTGGTAAGGAGACCTCCCCAATGTGGGACTTGTTACAATACTACCCCATTCGAAAGCCAGCGTCCTCGATGGCTGCACTCCCCGACACTTCACTCGGCCTTCTTACCAGTCAAAACCCTCCGACGGTAGCCCTTCTCAAGTTGGCTGGCTCTCATTGAAAGCACCAATGTAACAACCATAAGGCTAAGAGGGGAACCATCCCTCAAAAGCTAGCTCAAGAGGTTGGAGAACCTCCCACCTTATAAGGCCTCCCTGATAAGGAGACCTCCCCAATGTGGAACTTGTTACATTGACTTAGGCCTGAGGCTTTAAATATTCAATTTTTTTTTTTAACAAAATACATTTAGGTTTGCACCTACTAATATGAAGAAGGAACCTAGGAATCAAGATATAAATACTATATGTTGAGTTACCAGGCATCCTATTCCTCAATTCGTATCCACTAAAAACCTTTTTGTGCAGCACCACACTTTTCTCTCTATCATTGATTCAGTCAAAACCCCTGCATCAGTTCAAGGGCATTAAGTATAAGAATTGATTTTAAGCCATGAATTAAGAGGTGGATGTCTTATAAAAAGATCCAACTTGGGAGATTGTTGATAGGCTACAAGATAAGAAGGTTGTAGGGAGTAGGTTGATCTACACAGTGAAGTATCAGTTTGATGGAACATTGAATCGCTACAAATGAAGGTCAATTGCAAAAGGATATACTCAGACCTATGATGCACAAATACGATACGTATCCGATATGTCGATTCGTCTTATATTAAAAAATATAAGATACGATACGTTTAAGATACACGTGTGAATATATATATATATATAATTCATAAAAAAATATTATATATAATTATTAAATATTATTTTAATTGAACACATTAAATATATTTTTAAATATATATATATGACTTTAAAAATTTTAAATGTAAAATAAAATTTAACCATAACTACTTTTTGTTTAGAAATAGAAATAGTATCAATTTCATCTCCTCCATGAGGATCATCGATAAATAAAACCAAAGAGAAACAAACGCAGGAATAGATAAGAAACAAACCTGTGACAGAGGAAGCGAGAGAAAATCAAGGAGAAACAAACGGCAACAACAACATGAAACTATAAGCTCTCGAGAAAAATAAAATGTTGGGGAAAAGAGATACATATTTAAATAATTAAAATTTGTTTTGATAAATATTTAAATAATTCAAATCTGTTTTGATTAATTTAATAATAATAATAACAGAAAAATATTTGTTATTCTGTTTTTATTTTTGTTTGGATTTTTTTTTCCGATTCTTTTTCGATACGAATTTTTTAAGTTTCGGAGTGAATCGGATACGTATCTGATACGAATACGTTGGCCTTTCCAACAAGGTATCTGTGCATCATAGACTCAGACCTAAGGTGCTGATTATGAAGAAATGTTTGCGCTTGTAGCAAAAATATAATACAGTTAGGATTATCCTCTCATTGGCTGAACCTTTTGGTTGGGAACTGCAACAATTTGATATAAAAAAATGTTTTTCTGCATTCAAATCTAGAGGTCTTCATGGAAATCTCGCATGGATTTGGATCTATTGTTTAAAGGAATGAGTTGTATAGGCTGAAGAAAGCCTTGTATGGACTTACGCAATCACCTCATGCTTAGTTTCGGAGACTTTCACCCACTATGTTTTCTTTGGGATAGCACCAGGATCAAGGTAACCATACCTTGATTATTAAACATTCCTTTGAAAAAATACTTACTCTTTTCCTTGTTGATGTTAATGATATGATTATTGTACAAGAAGATAAGCGTGGAAATTGATCTTGATAGAAAAGCCTTCTGGAAGGATCTAGGAAAGTTAAAGTATTGTTGCTTACTCAAAAAAGGCATCTTTATCTCCCAAAAGGAAATATGCTTATATCTTCTCAATGAAAGAGGTAAAATTGATTGCAAAGCCACTAAAACACCTATAGAATAGAATCATAAAATTGGGAGTGATCAAGAGAGTTCAATAATAAATAATGATCAATATCATAAACTCGTCTGGAAATTCCTTTACCTAGCCCGCACTAGGCCTACAAAGCTTATGTTGTGAGTGTGTTAGCAACACTTACAAGTTGTAAATAGAATCCTTCAATATTTGAAAAAAAGTCCAGGAAGGGTTGTCGTTTAAGAAGAATGGAAAATTAAATATGGAGATGCATATTGATGCAGCCTATGCTAGTTCTAATATGAGGTCCACCTCAAGATATTCTATGTTCCTAGGCTAAAACTTGGTGACTTGGAGAAGTATGAAAAAAAAATATACTTGCAAGGTCTAATGCTTGCAAAGAATAATTCAGATCGTGAGTTTGGAGCTATGGCATTGTAGGATGTGTGAAGTGTTATAGATGAAAACTATTTTGAATGATCCTAAAGTGTAATATGAAGAACATAAGATTCTCTTTTGAGACAATAATCCTTTAAGATAGGATTGCCCTTTAGTTGGGTCAAAAGTACCATTTGCCTGGTCCGGCAGGCTTCGTTGGAGGGGATGTGTTGAAAGTCTCACATCGCCTACCTCATGTCATTTTGTATAGTTTAAATACATGTTAGGCAACTCCACATATTGTCAATTGATTTTATGTTGAAACCTTAACAACTTCTTCTTTCCTACATTGACAATCTTCCATTTAAGATCTGATATATTGGATTTTGCTTTCTTGATCTTTTCTCCAGAAAATGTAAAGCACTCATTTTTTCTCCTCTTTCTTTGTTTTATTGTCTTTCAAGATAGACAAATTCATGATAGGTTTAAACTCTTTCAACTTCGGTAGTTTTCCTATCTCACCCTTAAGCATCTCAATTTCACGATCACGTTTTTCAAGTTTTTCGTCCTTTTGCTTGAGAGCTTTGTCTTTGACCTTCTTCCTTTTACTTGAGAGCTTTGTCTTTGACCTTCAAGATCTTTTCGGTTTTTTCCTTCTCAAGGCGCATTTGTACAATTTCCTTCATCTCTAATAATTTTTTCTCGAGCAATTATTACTTCTTAGAGTCTTGTTTCCTAACAATGATGCTGACATGGTTGGTTATTGGCGTTTTCTCCTTCAAAACTTTTTAGTCTCTCTCTGTGGTTACTTAGGGTTATGATTCTAATGAGAATCATTTGTGAAATACCTGCATATAAACATGACTTCGGTTTTGTCTTCCTCGTTTTTCTTTCCCTGTGAAATTTGATTTGAGCTATAGTGGGATTTTTAGGCAACGAGTCAATGATGTAATCTTCTTCCACATCTTCCCATACATCAAATCCTTTAAGATAGGATTGCATTCTCACAGCCCATATGCCATAACTTTCGCCATAAAAAATTGGAATGACGACTTTCATTCTTTTAGTAAGAACCAAAGCTCTGATACCAATGATGAGAATTTTTAGGGTTTTGTGTATGTGTATTTCTGCTATATGAAAACATATCTCATATGGGTATATATTTTGTACATGTACTCTATCAATATATAAAGTAAAAATATGACAAAATATCAAATATTAATAATATCTCAATCATAACTATCTAAATCAAAATAATAACATAATATCTTTTTATCTTCTTCTCTTAAAAGATAATAAAATCTCTTAATACTTAATTTAAATAAAAGACAATAAAGTAATATTTCCAGTAATTAGTATTGCTCAGAATCCTGTCCAACATGCCAAGGCCAAGCATAAAGGGATTAGCCAACATTTCATCAATTAAAAACTAGATTGTGGCCTTATAATTTTTGCTACATCCCATTAGGACTTCAGCTTGCAAACTTGTTTACAAAAGGACTTTCCTTATAATGGTTTCTTGAACTTACATGCAACCTAAGAATTATTGATATTCATTCACCAACTTGAGGAGGAGTATTGAGTTAAGAGGAAAGTTGTCTAAGTTACAAGAAATATTGTAATGATTTTATAGGGATATGAAGATTTGTGTTCAAACTTGCAGTTATTACAAGACTAGTAGAGTTTACAAAAGTACTATATAAATAAAACATCTTTGAACTATTTGAATTAAGATATTAGAACTATAGTTTTTCTCTTCTTCACTAACTTCCCTTTTATAGTCTATATATTGAAATGCACTATCATATTACAGATTATATCTAAAGCAAATAAAAAGGGCATCAAGTCAACAAGTAATCATAAGAATTTAACTGGTAGGATTTAGCATACCACTAGTAACAATGCTAGTACACAACCCTATATCAGTTTATTTCTAAGTATCATCTCTGTTTTGGACTTAATTTTTGTTTATTCAATTGCTTAACCCTTGGGCCACTAAACGGAATCTTAACAAATTTTGTCCTACAATCATGTATCCTGAGGATGCAAGAAGATGGTCAATATCAAGTATATACTAACTTGATCTTTAAAAAGCATAATGCCCATCTTGACTTAATGAAAAATGCTTTTTAAACACACACATTCACAACAGATACATACACCAAAAAGAGTCAAGCATAAGTTTCAACATAACACAAGAAATGGAAGGAGATTTGAAGTTTATGCACACACGAGAAATAAAAAAAAATCTTTTCAGGATTTTCACTACATCAACAAATATAAACACATTCTATACTTCTTGAAAGACAAATTCCATCATTAGTTATATGTCATAATTGATAAATGTCGACAAGTATGAACTTCAATGTTGAAGAACTTACCCTCATCATTTATGTCGATGCAAATTGATTTCTATAATACATGAAATATTTATTGTCTATATAAACTGCAAGTGAAAACATAGAAAATGAACCAAAAAATTCATACACATTTTTCAGCTAGATTACATCCCCAATAACAAGAAATATGAATAAAAGGGGAATTGACCTAGTCCCTTCACATGGAAAATAATTATTTAAAAAAAGATCAAAATTTTGCATAAGAAGCCTGGTAAAGCTTGAATATTAGAAGTAGTAATAGTATTTACCAGAAAAGGTTCTTTTGAATTCCAATTACCTGACAGTACCCAACTTCAGGGTTGTGCCGAGCATATGCAAGCAGTAAACGCCTCAAGGAATTTCTGCCATTTTCATCCAAAGCAGGGTGACCTGGGAAAGTTCGTGGTAAGTCCTGAGAATGAAAAGTACGTTTTAGTCTAAGGAGAGAGCCAGTATGCAATATAAAGCAAAAGATGCAGCACGTACAAATCAAAATAAAGTCCAAGGCGCATGCAGCTAATGACCTTCTCAATCTGCTTTTTCCATTTCCCAAACGCAGCAGATGAGACATCTTGCTTCTCACTTTCATCGTGAGCTAACAATTCCTCATAATAGCTCTCCACCCGTCGTGCCTTCACACCTATAAAGGCTTGCCAGACCTGTAACAACAATATTGTAGTGTAGGGAATGTTGCAGTACTTTTCCCCCTAACAAAAGTTGGAACATCAGTGAATTATAACAATTTTACCTCTCCTCTAAGATCCTTTGGGACTCCTCCTTGAACAAGGGACTCCAGTTCTTTCCATCGAGAGAAAAGTTCTGGTAAGTCTTGATCTACTAAAGAATTTTCTCCCCTTGAGCAATTGATACCATCCCCTTGAGCCCCTTTCATTTTCTTTCCTTTTACACGAGAACTAAAAATTTCTTCAATGGAAAGAAGAGACGGCCTGATTTCAGCCCAGTGTTGAACCCTCCGTGCCTTTCTGTCTTCACAATGGTGCCGTTCCTTTCGAGAGTTATTTCCTGCTGCACTGTCAGAAATAAAATTCCTGTCACTTGAATCACACCCTTCACTAACGCTTCCGGGATGACTACCGTCTTTTATCTCAGTAACTCCAGAAGTCTTCAGGTCACTTGAGTCACCTTTGCTAACCCTGTCTTGAATAGTCTCTTCTATTGTCTCATTACCTTCAGCAGACTTCCTTCCATTTGAGTTGTCCCCTTCACTAACCCTGACAGCATTAGTCTCTTCTTCTAACTCAGGAAAGTTCCTCCTAATTGAATCATCCCCATTACTTGGACTATGTGGATTTCTCTCTTCCTCTCTTTCCTCAACACTTTCAGGTTCAGCCTTCAATGTTTCTTTATGTTCGTTAGAAGTTGGTTGAGATGACTCAGTTACGCGTTCAAGAAAGTCACTCCATTTATCTGATCTCTCCTCCTCCTCCTCCTAACATAATGAATAAATCAGTTTAGGGATGATCGGTAAATTGAATTTGTGCTACTTATTGTTAAAAAACCCGTTCTCAGAATTGCAAAGGATGATGATTTATTTAGGCTCCATATTTTTTCAGTAGTATCAAAGGGCTAAATTGCAAAGCTTGTGTTGTTTAGGATAATTGTTTCTTAAAATCATAAGAAAAAAAATTAAAAATGTTGCATATAAATTTATTTGTCATATGTTAAATGCCATGCTGCAAAAGAAACATCAAGCAGTTATTTGCAATTATTAGAGGGTGAGCTTTATGGCAAGGGTGAGATTGTTGCCTCGTAGCCTGAGATCATGGTTCAATCCTGGAAACAGCCTCTCTGCTTCTGGAGGTAAAGCTATGTGTGTGTATCTACCATCCCCCAATTAACTAAGTAGGATTCTTATGCACTGGGTTGCCCAAGTCTAATCATATGGCTGCACACATCATGTATCTTTTCTGAACCAATAGAAAAATGTCAATAAACCTCCTCTTTGTTAAATTTCTTTAAAAAAACAGAATATCTTTTCTCATAAAAAAGACACATGACATTTACTATTGGAACAAGTATGTAGTTAACGTTTTAAGTTGTTCATTCTTCATTTTTTTGTTGCAACTACTCACTTTGTTTCTTCAGAAGTTTTAATTTATTGCAAGATATTATACTTTAGAAAGGCAAGAAAGCATTAATTATATTTCTTCAATAATTTCCCTTAATAATTGATTTCACCAATAGAGGCATTGTAGTTTAAAAACTATTATGTCATGGTGATTGGTGAAATTAATCATTTTGTTAATATTTGTCATACTTTACATAGAAATTAATTTAAAATGGTGGGAGCAATATACAATGGATAATTAGCAGAAAAAACTTCAGTCACGGCCATAGGTTTGTCATTCTTACTATTTAACAAAAATCTCCTTTCGATATTTAACCAATAACGAACTATGTCCTTTGAATAATGATGGACCTTGAAGTGCTTCTATTTAATTACACTGATGATAAATACGCAGATGGTACATCAATATCCCGGAGAAATGTGTTCGTGCAGGCGTACTTGAATATTGGATTGAAACATAAACCTGCTGGATCACCAGAAACATGAAAGCAAAACTGGACTACGATAGTAAATACCTTGTAGATGGAAAAATACTCCCTGTATCGTTGTGCGTATTGAGGCCTTAATGCAAATCCATAAGAATCCCTGTAGAACAATACGCGTAATTATTGTTCTGTAGGGGAATAAAATTAGAAATAAAAATAAAAAACAGAGTACCACCCATTTCCAAAACCAGAAATAGACAATTGCACGTAACACCAGCACGTAAACTACAATTTCTAGAGAAATACCTAGCATCACAATCTCTAACATTTTCTCTAATGTCTGTTGAAAATCACAAATCACTCAAGACTTTTTCAATAATTTTCAACATGTTTCAGAATCTGTGCTGTTAAACACGTTTGAATTTTTCTCTAATTTCTAAATAACCAATTAATCGAATTACACATGCAACGCATGCATGATTCTAATTCTAACATATACGCACGCTACCTGGAATCAACCTCCAATGAGCGCTTACTCAATAAGGACAACAACATACTTTAAGAACAGGTACAGTTCTACAGCCCATAGCTAGCTTTCGCTCTCAAAACCAAACCCACAGTGCTAACTAACGCTACCACCACATATCAGACTCAACATCCAACTACGCGCATTACACCGATTCCAAAACGAACAATCAACCAAAGAAAACCGTGTTCCAAATTCACGATCGGGATAAAAACCGATCGAGTCGACAGTGTCGTTTTGTCTCTCAGTTGGTGTGAACAGTAACTGCTACGAAGAAACGTTCCAAAACGGATCCACAAAGTAGCGAAGAGTTAGCGCTGGAGGACGCGTGGAAAATCATTTGTAGCGTGCGATTTTTATATATTGTGTGTAAGGACGCATGCGTGCATACCTGGTGGGTTCGAAATTGTGGAGGAGATTGAAACTGAAATGCGCCATGTTCGGCCGCGTGGCGCGAACACGGAGAGAGAGAATGATTAGGGTTTTGTTTGGTGAGTTTGTTTCGGAGGAAGATGAAAGGTTAACTGCATCTTCCTTCTCTCTAATCCTCTCTCTGTATCGTTAAAAATCCGCTGTTTTTCGCAACTTGTGTGTTTGTAGTGGTAGTAGCCGTTGATGGTATGTTGCCACCTGTCACTTTAATTAATAAAATTATTATAACAAATAAATGTAAATATAAATATACATATTGAACTAAATATGATTAGTCCTTACAATATAAAAAAATATTTCTTTAAATCTAATTAGTTATGTAATTTATATTTTTAAATATTTTGCTTCAACTCAAAGATTAATATGATAGAAACTTGAAAATTCAGAGCCAAAACAAATACTTATCAAAACCTCAGGAAGGACTCTAATAAAGCTCTAGAGACGCAACACAGGTCTATTCAATAGGTTTCATTTTCATGGACATCCATGGGTTATTTTCTACCAACTACCAATTGAACATCAATAATGACCCCTCATAAGCATGATAAGTTTATTGAGTTGGATATTTATTATGAGAATCAAATTAAATGTTATTTCATGATTAATGTTGTTAGAGTCTCTAAACTCCTCGTCTCATTAAAGAGTTCAACAGTTTAAGTAAAACATTATTTATGAGAATTGTTTAAAAATTAAAACTAAAAATCATTTTATTATAAATCTTATATATGAATTATTTCAAATTAGAAGTTTTTCTTATATTAGATTGTTATAAATCACAAATATTAGATATTTGTTTGGCTAGTATGCTTAGTTGCTTCAAGGACCATTCACATATTTAATAAAAATGGAGGACTAAATTCATGAATTAAAAAATGTGGAGAACAAATACCAAATGTAAGCGAAAATGCAACTGGTTTCCTCTTTATGATTTCCACAGATGCATTAATCATAGTGGCTATGGTGTTGAACCATGAAGTTAATGGAGGTTAGTAAGGGTATAAAGTTCTCGTCTTCTACCCTTAAATGCATTGATAATTAGAAAATGATTTCAACACAACTTTTGTTTTCCACAAACAAGTTTAATTTTCAGTAAATAAACCTTTGCTGAGAGGGTACATACACTTGAGATATAAAAGCTTAGTAGGTAATATAGCATCCTTAAAGTAGGATAATTATACCATAATGATCAGTGGTATATAAACATTTTTATGATATCAAACATACAAGCTGAAAAGTGAACATAACTATGTGTAATCACATAAACATAACTTGTATTTGACTGAAGATAATCTACTCCTTAGAAAAAGCCGATCCAACGTTCACTGTTGAGACTGCTGAGTTCAAAGGAAGAAGCAAAGAGATTTGTTAGAACCAATCACAATTTTTCAAAATCAACCATATTTCTTCCATTAATAAATAATGATGATAATATTGTTATGATTAATTATCCTAAACAATCATAATAATATTGTTATGATCAATTATCTATTCAAGATATTATCTACTTTAAAACTCGAGTACTAAATTAAAAATCTAACGTGTACAATACATTAAACAAAAATAATAAGTGATAATAATATTATTATATTAATAGGGTCAGAATACTATTGTTTCTATACTGAACAAATAATTAAGAGATTCATAATGTATATACTACCAGATAACGTTTCTTGTATCTATCAACGATTTCCTGGGGATCCATTCTTGTCTGTGTATAAGCGTCAATCTTGTTCACCTCCTGTAAAAGAAACATTTTTGTTCACAAATGATATATCTTTGTAACCACTATGTCTCAAAGGTTGTTAGTACTTAATAGTTATGGTTAGTTCAAGTGGAACAATCTGTCAACAGTTGTGCAGCAAATAGAGAAATTTAAGTAAGATGATTATAATAAATTCATCGTATAAACAAAAAGCTATTTCCACCATAAATAGAAAAATTTTACAGACGGCTGATTTTAATGTACCTCAATCCATGTTGCAAGTTTTGGCCTTCCTTCTGTGATGTCATGTTTGAACACGTCAGCAAAGATAAGTTGGAATCTTTCAAAAAAAGGAATATAGGCAATATCCACCTGATCATCACAAACATTTTGAAATTATATGAAAGAAAAGCTTTAATCATACTAGTATTCTGACACATTAGATGCATGAGGCCAGAGTTTAGTTTTTTTATTAGAAATAGAAAGATATCTAACCCAATCCACCTTGGAAGGTGAGATAACATCATCCGTATATTATAATTTTATTGTTTCCAAATCTTTATGGAATTTCATCATATCCCGAGATTTTAACACACTCTTGCATCAATAGGGATTTCATCCTAATCACTAATTTGTGACTAATGTTGATGTTGATTAGTATAACAGAAGATAGACTCAGAATCAACTTCATCACGACAAGAGTTAGTGATCAGCCTGAAAGGTAGCAAGTTTAAAAGGAAATAAAAAAACGAAGATAATTGAATTGATTTCAACTTACTAAACTGAATTGACCAAGAAAGAATGGCCCATCATCAAATTTACCAAGAGCATTCTCCAAGTACTCAAAGGCAGGACCTGATTTAAATCACCATTTTCAAACCATCTTGTGTTTGTAAAAAAATTAAAAAGGAATATTTCCTCGTTATGAACTTAAATATCTTGCTTACTGCCTTGCTGTACAGCATCCCCTTTCAATGACGAGTACATGTCTTTATTGAATGTATCAACATGGGATATTAGGAATTCACCGAACTCTTTCTTCGCAGGATCCTAGAAAAGTTCCCACTTAATGTCATTAATTCATTCCAACAAAGAGATGAGAGGCCATGAAGGCAAAAAAAGAATGTGCAATTCCAATATCTTACACCAGGAAACAAACTTGTCCCTTCAAAGTTGGCATCTACATATTTGATCAAATCAAGACTTTCTCCCAATACCTTGCCATTGTGCTCCAATGATGGCACCTGTAAAGATATTTTAGGGAAACAAATTCAAAAGGCTCAATCAAATCAGCAGGATAGCAAAACAGTTGTCTAAGTTACTCACCTTATTTTCAGGGTAGACTTTCTCCTTATACCAAGCTGGCCTGTCTTGAAGATCAATAGGGACCAATTTGATCTTGTCTTGTAGTTCCTGTATTTTTAATTACCAGTACAAGAAACAACAGTGACAGAAAGAACATTAAATAAGAGTAAATAGTTTATGTGTGGACAGGGTAAACGTTTTTTAGGATGTTATTTGATTACAAACTGGATTAAAAACTTAATTTTCACAAGAACTACTTTAAAAAGTTACTTCAACAATAATTTTTATTGGTTGAATAAATTCTTCTATACAGATTTTTTTTATATATAGAAATTAAACTCAAAATAATAATAAATCAGAAGAAGCACACACTTGGAACTTGGCAAATAGAATTAATAAAAATGGACATTACAAAAGAGGACAGAACAAAGGAACAACCTTGTAGTTCCTAGTTATCCACACACGTTGAGCATAGGGGCAATAATAACTGATGTACAACCTAAATAAATAGAAAAAAATTAAGGACATTTTCATGTTAAAATTGAAGCATGACATGGAAAAGGTGAATTTTGGAGTGTGACATGGAATCAACCTAGTGGTGCCATCAAAAAGTGGAGGTGGGTCGGAGGTGGATGTTAACGGAGGAGGACGAACTGCTTGCACGCCACTGTTAGGTACAAGGAGAGATCATTAGAGAAGAAGATAGTGTTGGAATAAAAAAGTAAAAGAGAGAGAGAGTAAAATTTAGAAAATGAAGAATTTTCATACAGAGTTGCCATTGACGTCGTTCTTCCCTGTGCCTTCAGGATTGGATGGACAGAATCAGGAGAGTCTCTACGTCCAACCAAGTTTGGCTTTTTCTTTCAATTTTCATATACATATATTTTCTTTTTGGGTTTGTCTTATTAAGTGTAAATAAATATAGATTAAATCACTCAATTTTAAATGTGTGATATAATTGAGATAAGTGTTTTATTTTTAATTCTGTCGTTAATATAAAAGTACTTTTCTCTCTTATATTTTTTTATAATTAATTTAAAAAAATCTAAAATTTTAAATATTTTTTTCACTAATTATATATCATATTTGTTATATATTTTATTTTTTTTAAATATCTATACTATAATAACTATTTTTTTTAATTATGATTTTTTTCTCTTGATATCTTCGTCATATAGTTTATATAGATAATATTTAAATATTATTATATTGGTATACAAATTTTCAAAACTATTTCGGTGTAAATATATTTTTCACAATTTTATTTTATTCTCGCGAAATTTTACAATTTTTGTACGAAGAATTTAATTATATTTTCTTGTATTGTTTTTAATAAATAATATATACATTAAATATTATTTAATGTATTTCATAAATTTATTCTCTTGTATAAAACAATAAGCTTCTGTGAAAATTATTAATTAAAAAATTGAAGAAAATTTCAAATTTAAATTATACTTCATCATAGTAAAAATAATATATTATTTTAAGCAATTTTAGGTTTTTTTATTCACTATTTAAAAATAAATAGTTTTTAAAAATTTAAAACTTATTTGATAATTTTGTTACTGAAAAATAAAATTAATCTCCTAGATGGCACTTTATCTGAATAAGCTTCAAATGATATTTTGTCTTATATTATATATAATTAAATATATTTGTTTTTTTGCTATCATTAAAAGCAAGAGTCTTAATTATATTTAGGTTAACAAATATAAATTTTGCTCAACAACTTTGCTCCATAAATAATCCCAATTACTATATAAACTATAAATTCTTCTAATGTGATCTTAAATTTTGTTCTCATTTTGTTCAACCTCTCACTCAATTTCACATGCCACTTACCTCCATTCCTTAGACCAAGCAAACTAATTTTGTTGTTTTGTTTTTGAATCATCATATATCATATATGAATTGAAATATCATGTTGAATTAATAAAATAAAAAATATAAGAAACTTAGTAAAGAATCTAATATCTTAAAATTCAACAAATCCATTCATTAAACCAAAGATATAATTTATTATAACATAGGATAATTATATGATAATGAACCGTTTGCACAAGCTGGTACATAAACATTATTATGTTATGACATCAAACAAACAAGCTGAGAAATAAACATAAACATGGCACGAAACTCTCTGGCAACTCTTGCAAATAAATAAACACAGTCTGACATTTTATTTGAGATGCATCCCTAATTCCCATGAAAGCAAAGGACGCTTTATTGGCACAGTCTACATCTTAGTGGAAGCCTGAAGCAATCCTACATTCACTGTTGAGGCTGGCAGTGAATGCAGCAGAGAGGTCAGTAAAAAAACCAGTCACAATTCTTCAAAATCAACAATTAGAAGACTAATATATACCAGAAAACGTTTCTTGAAAAGATCAATGATTTCTTGTGGATCAATTCTTGTCTCTGTATAAGCATCAATCTTGTTCAGTTCCTGTAAATGAAGCATTTAGTATAGTTAGGCCTCTTATCAAAAGCATGAGATTGAGGACCAATTCAAATGGAAACAATCTGTCATTAAGATGAATTCATCATATAAACAAAGTGCAATTTCCACAAAAAAAATGGAAGAAATTTTACACAAAATTGATTATAGGTACCTCAAGCCATGCTGCAAGTTTAGGCCTTCCTTCTGTGATGTCATGTTTCAACACCTCAGCAAAGACAATGTGAAATCTTTCAACAAATGGAATATATGCTATATCCACCTGATCAGACAATCGTTTAAAAGTTATAAGAAATAAAATACATTGATTGATATTTTCAAATACTAAATCAGTACACTACTTTTGGATTAAATCATAAGTTCTTACTTTCATCATATTGAAAATCTTTATATTTTTGATAGAGGAAGAGATATAAAAGATAATGAAATATTAATTGATATTATTAATTAACAACTATTAAAAAAAATGTATTAGTATCTTAATACATTACTATATTCATAAAAGCTATAGTAATAATCCAAAATTTTGGATAACTTCTTATAAACATTCACACTTGAAGAAAATTAGAAGGGAAAATAAAACATCTTTTTTATAAATTAAAATTATTTTATGTATAATTTTTTTTTTTTTAAGTTCTATATCCTTTTTAAAATCTTATTTTAACTTATAACTTAATTTTAACATATACCAAAAATTTATTTCGTTTTATCTTCTTATCTTTTTCAGTAAAGTTCCAAAGATCATAACCATACTAATCCATTGTCGTCCAGCGGTTAGGATATCTGGCTTTCACCCAGGAGACCCGGGTTCGATTCCCGGCAATGGAAATTATTTTACATTGATCACTTTCCACTATCATGAGCTTTTAAAGATGAAAATGGTATTTTTAGACGAGTGACAAGCACCAAGAGAAGGTTTTTAGTTATTGTCCAAACTTACCAAACTGAATTGACCAAGCAAGAATGGCCCATCATCAAATTTACCAAGAGCATTCTCCAAGTATTCAAAAGCAGGACCTGATTTATATCACCATTTTGAGGACCATCTTGTATTTGAAAAAGAAGAAAGAAAAAGAAAATTTTCCTCCGTTTACAAACTTAAATATCTTACTGGCTTGCTGCACAGCATCTCCTTTCAATGAAATGAACAGGTCTTTGGTGAATGTATCAACATGGGATATCAATTCCTCACCAAACTCTTTCTTGGCAGGATCCTAATAAATTTTCAACTTAACATCGTTAATTCACTCCAACAACTGAAAAGACATGAAAGGTCAAAAAGAGAATTAACGTTCAGTTCTTAGTTCTTACACTGGGAAACAAAGGTGTCCCTTCAAAGTTCACATCTACATATTTGATCAAATCAAGACTTTCTCCCAATACCTTTCCATTGTGCTCCAATGATGGCACCTATAAAGATATTTTAGGGAAACAAATTCAATAGGCTCAAACAAATCAACATAGCAAAATAGCAACCCTTTTATTACCCTCAGTTGTCTAAGTTACCTTGTTTTCAGGGTAGACTTTCTCCTTATACCAAGTTGGCCTATTTTGAAGATCAATAGGAACCAATTTGATCTTGTCTTGTAGTCCCTGTATTTTTAATTCACCAATGCCAGAAAAGACAGTGACAGAAAGAACATTAAATAAGAGTAAATAGTGTATGTGTGGACAGTGCAAAGGGTTGTTACAAGAACTACTTTAAAAAGTTATTTCTAACAATGAATTGATTCTTTCATAATAATGGTTTATTGTAAAAATTAAATTAAAAAATAATAATAAACCGCAGGAAGCTCACACTAGGAACATGGCAAATAGAAGTAATAAAAATGCACATGATAAAAAGAGGACAGAGCAAGGGAACAACCTTGTAGTTCCTAGTTATCCAGACACGTTGTGCAAAGGGGCAAGAATAACTGATGTACAACCTAAGCAAATGGTAATAAAAAATAAGAACTTGGGCATGTGGAAATTGAAGCAAACCCATGAAAAGAAGGTCTAATTTAGAGTGTGAGAAGCAACTAACCTGGTGGTGCCATCAAAAAGAGGAGGTGGATCGGAGGTGGATGTTAATGGAGGAGGAAGAACAGCATGCGCGCCCCTGAAAGTTACAGAGAGAAAGAGCATTAGAGAAGAGGGTAGTTTTGGAATAAAAAGATAACAGAGACAGAGTAGAATATAGAGAATGGAGAGTTTTGTTACAGAGTAGCCATTGAAGTTGTTGTTCACAGAATATGAAGGATTGAATGGACAGAACCAGAATGGTGTCTAAGTTCAAGAGTTTGGTCCTTTTATGGGCAAAACGAAAGTCACCGGTTGCCTTTGTGGGTCCCACCACTTAGCAGCGGGCCTGAGTTTTCGTTTGAAATCTTAATTCACCCGAAGAAAATAAGGTAGTTGAACATATGCTTTACGTCCCGTCTTACTATCAATAAAATTATTTTTTATCCATTAGAATGATTTGCTATGTCTAGATTATAAATCTTAATTCATAATACATTAATGGATCATTCGACTAATATTTTTTATATATAAAAATATACTTTTAATTGTATAATTTTTTATTTTTTATTTATTAATTAATATTTTTATTAAATAAATTAATAAAATTATTATATTTATGTATTAAAATATTTAATTATAATCAATAATTTAAATTTAATTAATCAATATTTATGATTTAACTTATAAAATTATAATATATTTATATATTTAAATAATATATTATAAAAAATATAATATATTTAATTATAATTTTTATTTTTATTTTAATCTATAAATATTTTTAAAAACATCTCTGTGAATTAGAAAAAAAAAACAAATATTAACGAAATAAAATCATTTTAAGTTGAGATAGATTAATTAGTCCATTGGTTAAATTTATTATGTTTTATCATTTCAATAAATTAAAAATATAGTAAAATTTTAGGATATAAATTTTATTTTATAAATAAATATTTTAAAATTAAGTTAAATTCAAATTTATATGTTTACTTGGACTAATTATATTATTAGTTATTGAAAATATATTTGGATCCAAATTCAATTTTTTTACCATAATAAAAATTACATTGTTGTCTAAAATAAGTATAAATTATTATATATAATTAGTATATTTAGTGTTTTGTATAAATTTATTTACATGGGAGTATTGTAGAGAAAGATTTTGTTAAGTTTACTATATAAAAGTTGGGTATTAATAATATACGAGATTGATTTTTTTATTTAATAATTTACATGATATTAAGTTAATAATTTTTTTCTTTAAAAAAATTAGTTCCTTTTTCTATGAAAAAAAGTACGATATTTTTTTTGAATTCAAGTTTTAAAATTAAATATTTTATTTGTATAAAATAAAGACTATGATACTTTTATAGACTAGTAACTTATTTAAACTAAATATTATATTTGTGTTATATAATTCTAAAAACTATTCTCTTATAAAAAAAATATTTATAAATATTAAAATATCATTTTTATTTGAACAAATCATTTTAAAAAAGTAAAATAAAATTTTGTTTTTATAATTATCCATAGAATAAAATATTCGTAAACATTAAAGTCATATCATTGTGCAACTTTCAGATTGTAGCAAAATATTTTAACTACACACAAATACAAATGAAATGTGAAAATACAAAGTTTATAAAACTAATTCTTTATTGTAAAAAATTAATACAAAAATTTCTATTTAACATAAAAATTCTTTAATATAATATTACTTTCAATACGTGGATTTTTTTCATTAATATGTTATTTAATTTAAAAAATATATATTTAGTTTATGATTCTCACATTTATATGTTATTAAAATTTTCATTTATTGGAATGGTAAGACATCAAATATACTTAATTCTAATATAAACAATAATAATGTATATAATCAAATTTCAAGATGAGATGGATAAAAATATTTATCTAAAACATTTTAATAATATTTCAACATAATTTTCAAATTATCTAACAATTCAGCCTAATACAACGCATTAGCTTTCACGTACCAACTTGTTCAAACAAAAGATCACAAACCAAATGAAAAAAAAAATGAAGAATTTCTGCGCGCATTTGGTTAGAATCTGAATCAAAATCCTGTCTACATTCAAGGTGGTAGCATAAAGTTAACCAACTACGTATGTCTTAGTAAATTTACCTTATTAAAATTTCTAGGCCTGTTTTAAATTACGTTTTTGAATTCTCTATCTCTCACAGGGATGAGAAAAATTAGTAGTCAAAATTGTTTCTCACTTTCATTTGTATTTCACTGTGAGATAGGAAATTTTGAAAGAAAAAGAATTCAACTCCTCCTTGTGTTGTAGACTTTCTCCAATAGAAATAAATTAAGATATTGTATCCTTAGATAAAATATTCACAACAGACATGGGTTAAAGATATTCTTATAAAATTTGTGTTTAATTACAAATTAGATATTTCACATTATAACTTGCATCACTATGTGAGGAATAGATAACGAAGGTTTTCCAAGAATTATGCTTCGTCATTGAACATCAACTATACAGAATAACCAGCAAACTTTTCCTCAAATGGCAATTGACACCAATGTATTAAACAAATTATTCTCAGGGTTTTCAACATGAAAGAAGAAACGATGGAGTTGTATTGTTTTGGGAATGGTATGGTGGGGCTAGAGAGGATGATGCAATTGGTAGGTAAATATAAGCTATCATATGGAGCTCAATTAATCCATGATGAGTTGAAATTCAGTTCTAAGCTACTCAGACTTCTTAGCCAGACTTAATACCACTCCAATGGTAAGACTTGAGGCTACAAAACCAAGAGATGCCTCTGTGGAGACATGGAATCCTGAAGGAATGAATGAGAAGATGTGAAAAATCAAGCACACAAAACTTTTGTATAAATTGTAAAGTGGACAAGCAAAGTATACTCACCAAAATAGTCCAGGATCATCTTAACCCCAATAAATCCCAAAACAACAGCAATGGAGGGCTAAACAACACCAAAAAATTGGATATCAATAACAAGGATGGAAGTATAAGTAAACAAAAGCAGTGTAAGATACCACAGTAATGAATATGCAGCATGCATTATAAGTATGAAGAAAATCAGATTCTAGGTAGCAGAGTCTCCTGAGATCTTGTCCTTTGAATTCCAAGAAGTTATTGGGATGCCCTTTGACTAACTTCAGTATAAAATATTAGATTTAAAAACATATAATATAGAAGTTACAAACCAATCATAATTGGTTACAATATTTGTTACATTGGACAAACTACTAATGATCATAATTAAGTTCAAACTGATGATAGTGTAAAGCTTTGAACCAAAACCTTTGACAGTTTGAGATTCTCGATGATATATGTATATCTAATGGACCACAAACAACTTTGGTTTCTGAAAAGGAATTGAATAAGCAATGCTGCATTTACGATGTAGATGCGCAATCAAAATACAAGCCCACATGGGGTGTATAAGAAAGTTTTTAGTGTCCTGCAAATGCATTGCTACATCTATGGTATAGTACACAACGGTTTTGTGTTAATGTCAACATTAAGGTGACAGCGATACAAATAGATGTTACTGTCAACTGCTGTTGGAATTATTCTTTCATTTCAATTTGGGATTATTTATTGTTATTTACATTTTTATTCTATTCTGGATTATCTTCTAAGGGAGTTGGGACTGCAACTATACCATTGATGTAAAAAGTTGACCTTTTGAGTAACTCTTGGTTCTTGGCCTATATAGCTAAGGCATTCCTTTCTTATCAAAGAAAAATTGTCCATCTTCCATGAAGGATAAATATGCAGAGACAGGTCAAATGTCTTTCTAGAGTTTCTCTTTCCCACTCATCATAACTCAAAAAGATGTCTATTTTACCGCCATAATTCTGCTCCTGACAAAAGTGGCATAATTTTTTCAACCACAATTTAGGATGAAGCAGAAATCTTCTATATAAAGCAGGAAGCCCAAGGAAAACAACAATTTGGAAATGATATCAGAACCATAATTCAAGTCAAAGTAATACACATGGCCACGTTCAAGGATAGACATGTAACCAGCAAAATAATTATGAAGCAACCAAGGTATATGAAAACAGACAAAGTCAATATTTACCTGTAAGTACTTCAACTCTGACATACCCTCAGAAATTATCAAGTAAAGCGATCTTAAACCTACATTTGACAAATAACAGTGGTTTAAAACCAAAAAACCTATGAAAAAAAGCATCAACAATTATTGGACAGATACACACGGGATCTGAGATTATGACAAGAATGAACTATTTTGCCTCTCCTTCTCCACAGGGAAGTGAAGTAGAGAAATATAGTTAGAAAAGAACCATTTCTGTGAAACAAATTCTCAGTAATAGAATTATTTATTACAATAGGTTCCCCAAGCAAATAGATACACTACCCTTAACAGCTTTAACTTTAGTTCGTAAGCTTTCTGGGAATCAATCAAGTATACCAAACAAACACAAATCCCCCTTTCTAAACACAAATTGGATATACATGAGGGGAATGTAAGCAAGAGAACTTACCCAAAATGGCAAAAAGATTAGATGAAAAGACAACAAATGGATCCCGTGTTACACCAAATACTGCAGGTATTGAGTCAACCTAAAAAAAATAGAGTTAACATTCCAATGCGAAATTAACTATAAATTTCACATGAAATAGATGGATGAGAAAAACCTACTGCAAATGCAATGTCACTGAGCTCAATAACAGCTACAGTAAGAAGCAACGGGGTGGCCTGCCCAAAATGTTTGATCCCTGTTAGAAATCAAGTTGAAATTAATTTAATTCATAAAAAATATTTTTTATCGAAGTAGAAAGATTAATGATGTAATAAAAATTTCAATGTAGTCATGCTACAAAAAGAAAAAAAGAAAAAAAAAACACCAAATTAAAGATGATTAGTAATTTTACAACTTACTTTCCACACCCCTTCGAGATTTGTTATGAATCGATCTCCATCATAATACGCTACAACAATGTTGTCAGAAGTAAGATTTTAGATTACAAGAGAACAACATAATACAACTTGAATCAGCGGAATCAATAGCATGCCAAGTGAAAAGCCATGTCATCAATTGAAGATTGTAGAAAATGGCAGAAAGTCAATAATTCACTATATCATATAGTGTCTACCGCAAGAGCATATAGCGGAAGTCACATAACAGTTAAAAAATATGATATATATATTATATATGTAGAGCTCAAGTTTCTCACAAATAAAAGTAAAATAAATAAAAATTGACATTATATTAACTCAAAAGTTCAATTGGCTGAAGACTTGTCAGTGATGACAAGATGATTCAGCACACACACCGCAACCACAACAATGATAGCGGCTTCAATGGCAGTTAGAGTTGCAATTCCGGATTTGAAAAATTCTGCAATGTTGCAGCACAATAGAGGCTATTTAACAAGACCGGTTAAATGTATTTGCCAACAATATATTTTGCCCATATGCATTGACCCAGGGTAGAATGAGCATACATAGAGGCATGTAGCTTCACCTTTGTTTATACATGTACTCTAATCAAACATTCCCGAAAGGAACCATGGACCCAAATACTCATGAAATCAAAATTATTTTTTGCGTTTACCAAACATGATTTGCACTTATATAGACAAACATGAAGACAATTCCATAAGAAAAGAAAAAACTGATGCTTTCTAAAGAATTTAACTTTGATTCAGTCATTTCTACTTAAACATCAATTTCGATTTAACCAAGTCAAATTTAAGTTTTCTACCAATTCTTGTGATTGTTTCAAATAGTAAGAATAAAAATTCAATTTCAGAATACCCAAGAAATCAGCAGCAAATTCTCCAACTGGGGGAGAAAGAAATAATCATGATTAGAGAACATTACTTGTTACAGGGATAAATTTCTGGCACGTCTTCACCACAAAGTTATCTGATAAGTCAGATTCATCTTCTTCACTGGCAAACAGCTATTCATAAAACAATAAGCATGCTGTGATTAAATCCAGTCTATAGAATTGAAAATACCACAACAAGTATGAGCCTCCTAATATATTATACGGTTAGAGATATAGAACCATTCAGGTGATTCCATCTAAAATTTTAATCTAAAATATGTAAGCTTCTCTGACTAGGTAGTCAGGGGTTTGATCTCATGACGCTCATTTCTTCATAATTAAACTGAATTTCAGAAGGAATAATAAAATGGGCATATTCTTTAATCATTGTATAATATCAATATTCATGTGCTTCTGTATATCTTATGCTATTAAGAATCTTGTTTCCTTGACAAACATGAACATGGGTGGTGTTATAAGAGACCAATATAAGGAATCTAAATTTCGGAAAATCTGTGAATGTTCACCTTAAATGATGAGTAGAGTAATATTGCTGCCAAGAGAAGGTTGACTGCTTCAAATCTCTAACATCATAAAAATGAAAATGTTCAGAAACAAGCAAAAAGTCACTAAAACGAGTAAAATTTCAAAAACATATCATCATGAAAAGCACCTGAAGGGTCACTGTTCCAACAAGTATTAACGTCAGGCGAAAGACAACTGCACCAGCAATGCCATAGGAGAGCACACGACTCTGTAAGATCAATAAGTAAAGGAAAACTGATCAATTAACAGTTTTTTATAGTTATAATAACATTAAAGCATTCAGAATCAAGAACTCAAACAAGAAGTTGAAATTGCTCATAGTTAACCCTCGACAAGAAGTTCTATACATCACCTGATATGAAACCGGCACTTTGAAGTAATTGAATATCAGAACAAAGACAAAGAGATTATCTACAGAAAGACTTTGCTCCAATATGTACCTAAGAAATACAAAAAAGTCAAAAGCCATCATCCCAGTAAGTACATAGCTCAAGAAAGTGAAAGCAAAGCAGGGAGAGAAAAAAAGTGGTGCCAGCAAAGTTCAAACTGTAGAGTTAGAATTCATAAATCCCAAAATAAGCATCCAATATGCTTTAGCTTCAAACATCAGATTTTGACCAATCTCTATATGTAATACTCAAAGGGCATATTAGAGAGAGATCAAGGCATCTGAAACACATTAAAGATAAGCTGTAAGAAATTTTACACAATATCAAACTTTGACTCATCCAGAACCTTAGTTATTCTAGCACTGTAAAATTGGACCAACTTTCTAGCTGATAACAAAATTAAATTATTCTGCATACCCAGCAAAGAATTCGGATGCTTTGTCAAAACCTTCCTTAAAACCCAAACCAACACCAAATGCCAACGCAGTGCACACCTACAAGAAATCATAATCAACTGATAATTCTAAATTCTAAAAAACCAAGGAAATTGTAAAAGAAAGCAGTAAAGACAGAGTAGAGGTGTGCCCACCCATAAGGCTACAGTTCTAATGGAGGAATTGTAATCTTCATTTGCTAGAGATTCCTGAGTAGGAGATTTGTCAAAGTTGCCAATTTCATCCTTTGGTTGGGCGTTAATCCTCTTTACTTCTGCACATTCATACGACTACCACTTACAATTATTTAGAGAGAGAGAAAGAAACCATATATATAATATGTGCATCAAATTGATTAGTTTAGCCTCCCAAGTCCAACATGGGATTATAACTGCAACAAAAATGGATTTCTAAACATAAGATGAAGTAAACAATGACACTTTTGATAGTCTTTCCAATTTTTGGTTTTAAAAACTGTTTTCTAAAAGAATTCCACACTACTCGTGGATCAAATTCTCATTCAAAATCTATTAAATTTTGCTTTGAAAACAAGTGTTTTAAACATCAAAGCACAGAGATGCTTTCTCATCTTCTTCAACCTTCCCGGAATTTCACACTCTGCTATGCGCCTAGCAGCACTCTCAAATACCTAGCTGGGCGTTCTTATTTAGTAGCATTTTGAAAACTATACCCGAATAGAAATCAAACACAGCCTAAGTTTTTGAGTGGATAGAAGAGTTAGTAAACAAAGAAAACAAATTTTGTTGTTTTGAATGATGGGGTCGTCACCTGAGGCATAATTGTCTTGCCCAATTCGTCTGGAGCATAAAAGGGGAACAAGGTGAAGAGGACGATGATGGTAAACTGCCACACACAAAGAAAACCCCACATGATATTAGCGACATGTATGGGTCTGAGGTAAGAGAAAAGAGAGAGTAGAAGCAGACCTGAACAAAAGGAAGAGATGGGATGGTGAAGTACATGAGCAGAGTGTGGAAGGGTGCGAATGTGATCGAAGTTGAATGGAATTCGGATGCCGTTGAGAACAACAGAGGCCAATCCCATAACTCTGGGGTTGGGGTTGGCTCGCTTCTTGGATAGTACAATACAAGTTGCCACACAACACAACAATAAAATCAAAGTATGAAAGAGAAAGAAGGAATACAGCGAGGAATCTATGTGGTGCTCTTCTCCACTGCTTAGTTTCGACCAGACTTGTAAAGGATAAGTTGTTGTTTATGCTGGGTTGTGGGTTGTGTTTTCGATGAAGAATGGTCACAAATATTAGAATGAAAGCATCTTAAATTAAGAGAGATTTTATTTTGACACTCACTCTTAAATTAAAGACCCAATTTTTATTGTAAGAAATTTTCATTAAACATCTTGTTACCTTAAGATATAAGGTTTATTTAAAATTCTAAATCTTGAGAATAAAAAATATTCAATATATGATTAATTTATTTTTTATATTGTAGTTATGTTAACAAGTAAATTAAAATATATATATATATATATATTAAAATATTTTTTCGTTTAAAATTAGATTTTTTTAAGTTATATTTATAAGTATGACTTACCTAAATTTCTTTAATTATATATATATATATATATATATATATATATATATATATATTAATGATTTTTTTTAATACACAACTTTGATAGATTTGTCTGCATTCAACTTAATAAATTCATTAATTTAATTAAATAATTGAATGTAATAAATAATTAAAATTTCTATGAATATCAAATTGTAAATAATTTTTTTCAAAGATATTTATAATCATTTAATTATTGGTAAAACTCCTAATTCCATTATTCATGATTTCCAACAATCAAAATATTTTATAATAATCTCTTTTTTTCTTAAGAAAAATAAATATTCTAAATATACTAATATAACTGATTTTAGAATGGTGACCACTTTAACTGAAAAAATATTTATTATTTTTAAATTATTAAATTTTAATTGAATTATACAAACTTTAAAAAAATAATATAAAATTAAAAACTTTGTTTAGTTTAATTTATTATTTTTAAATAATGAATTTTAATTGAATCCATACAAATTAAAAAAATAATACAAAATGAAAAAAATTATCACAAAATTAAAAAAATTAATTAATATTTTGGTTGGATGAATTTTATTAAAAAAAATTAAATATAAAAAATAAAAATATTTTTTTATAAAACGTAAAATATTTTTAATTTTTTTTCCAACATCAACTTTCAATAATTATTTTTGTATTATATTATATTATATTTTATAATTATTTATCTTTTATTTATTATTATATTGTATATTTATAATCATTAATATAATTAATAAATTTAATATATATTTATTATATTATAAAAATATTATTTTATTAAATCATCAAAATATTTAATCTTTAAACTCATATTTTTATGGTTTAAATTAATATATATCATAAAGAATAATATTTCCATTTAAATTATATTTGTATTTTTTATTTAACTTAATTATTAAAATATTATTTAATGTAACTATTATAATTTTATATTTATTTCTAAAAACACTTATCAAATCAAACTTATTTTATTTTTAAATATGGTTCAGTTTACTATTTTTTTTTTTAAATTATTTCATTACAAATTGGTACATGTAGATATTAACCAGTTACATTCCAAGGGTTATTTTGCACATGCCCTCTCTTGAAAATATAAAACCTATTGAAATCTAAAGTATTTCAAAATCATAGATGAAAAAAAAATAAAAAATAAAAAGAAATGAGGAAAGAAGAAGAAGAAAATGTAAATAAATTACCAGAAAGTAAATTGCAAACAATTAAACATTACATTGGGATTTAATGAAAAATGAATGTAAATTGAAATTAAAAAAAAATGTGGAGGAAGAAGTGAAAAACTTAAATAACTTTAAAAATAAAATAACCTAATATAAATTGAATGCATTGAAGCACTATAATATAAGATTTGTATGTAAACTTAGTTAGAAATAAATATATGATTTACTCTTAATTAAATAGAATCTTTCATGATGAAGGGGAATATGAACTCTTATGGTTTTACTTATTTAAATATTTTATTAATATAATTATTTCAATTTACTTTTTATATTAATATATATTATAAATTAATTTTTATAATTATATGTTACATAACTTTTTAATTTAATTTATGTTTAAAAATAATTATTTTTAATTTTATTTTATTTTTTATTTCTATATATATATATATATATAAATTTAAATTCTCTTATTTATTATATTAATATAATTTTTGTATTAATTATATTAAACAACAATATTTTCTTATTTAAATTTTTTAATATACATTATAATAATAATACTGTATAATAAATATATTCAATTATTCGATTATATCTAATTATATTATTTAAAATACTATCATAATATGGAACAATTACTGATAAAGACCTTATTGAAAACATGATCCCCTTGATTGGGTATATCAATGTTTATGCAATTGTGATTTTCATTACTTCTGGTTTAATTTTTATTTTATTTTTCAAAATTAGAAATAACATCACCCTTCTTTTGTATCATTAAGTCAAAATGCACTATCATTAAAATTCATGATGACTCAATCTCAATACTTAGAAAAATTCACGCATCCTAAAATTATCAAGTTTAAATAAAAAATTGAAATTAAATAATATCAGTAAAATTAAATTATTTTAATTAACCCATAAGTTAATTGTTCTTATTTATTTTTTAGTTAGAAAGAAATTCATTGTCGTGTGCAATTGACAGTGACAACACGAATCATATTTAAATAAATAGTTTAAAATGACGAATTAAAAAAAAAAACAAAACTCTGCTAATCAAGAAATGTCATGGAAGATAAGTTTTTGACCTCTAAACTTTTTCTATTTTATTTTTAATTCTTTATTTTTCTTAAAGTTTCAATATTTGACCTAATTTTCTATTTATTTAAAAATTAGTATAATTTTTAAAATTTTATTCATGAGAATACAGAGTAAGAAGTGATTAACACACGAAATTAAAAAAAAAAAATCCTTTCTCAATTCAATAATAAGAAAAATTGTAAAAAAATATGTTACCCTCCCCGTAAATGTTCTATTTTTCATTTATGTAAACTAAAAAAATGAAAAAGTAAAAAATATATAATTATTTATCTTTATGTTTATAATTTTAATTTACATTTTTTTTTAATTAATATTTTAATAAAATATCACAAACATGAAAATAATTATAAAATTTAAATGAATGATTTAATATATATTTTTTATATGATATTATTTTATTAATTTAAACTCTAATATTTTTAGAAAAATAAATAAATTTATGATAAAAACATTTTATAATTATATATTAAAATATATATTATTGAAATTTTGAGATAGTAATTTAAAGGTATTAATTCAAAAAAAATTAATTCTTAAAAAAAACTAATTAATAAATATAACAGTAATTTTATAATTAAAAAATATTTAATTTGTGTTTAATTATTTACTATTTTTTAAAATAAATATTTTCTTTTATTTTCATAAATAGGAATATTTTTCACACCATTTCATATATTTTTTATCTTTTTATTTCCCCCATGAACTCACATTGAAAACAACTTGAATTATTCTTTATTTTTACACCATATATATATATATATATATATATATATATATATATATATATTTTATATATCAGTCAAATTTTTTTAAATTTTTTTTTCTAAATTCTCTCCCTCATTTATTTATTTAAAAAAATTATCCCCTCATTTAAACTATTTTCTCCATTTTCTTTTTTTATTAATATGTATTTATTTGTTTGTTGGAATGTGAAAATTGATGTTCTTAGAGCAACGTTAACTCAAGTTGTAGAATCAATTTCTTATCTCAGAAGTGGAAAAGTAAAATACCACTAGTAGTAGCATAACTGCTTTATCTCGACCCTATTACTCTTTCTTCTTCATCTTCTTCTTGGCTTTTACTTGTAAAGTTTCACACCTAAAATGCTCTTGCACCTAAAGATGCTATGCTCATAGTTCAAGAAATTTAAGATTAGAAGTTGACAATTGAAAAAGGATTTAAATTTGAGAATTGAGAAACAGAAAACTTTATAATTCATATCAATTTTTCGAATGTATCCAAAAAATTGGATGTGGACATAACATGTTCTGCAAATGTACTTTTTATTATTGAGTGAAATTTATATGCATTTTATTGAATTGATGATTGTGAAACTTATTAATTAGAAAATGAAACATATACCATCATTCACTAAGCTACACGGACATTTATTAACCCAAATCATATATAATGTGTCGAAAAAGATGTATGAAAGAATATGTTGTTAATATTTGTAACAAACAGATAGAAGCACCAAATTGTTTGGCATTGACATTTGAGGTTTCAAATAAATAAAATTTCCAGAATAAACTAAATTGCAATAAATATTTTATCATATAAAGTCATTATTTAAAATGTAACTTTGGGAAAAAGTACTTGGTTATCAAATTGGAAAGGATCAGCAATACTTAGAGACCTATGAACGGGGTTTTAGTTTCTCTCTGATCACTGAATGGAGCGTGTGCATGGCTATATCTTTCTGTGATTACACTATTCTTTTTGGTGGGTCAGGGTAATGCTAACACATAATGCATGAATGAATTATTGGTGAAGAAATGATGGAGATATCATGGAAGAAAAGAAACAGGCATTTTCCAAATATCTGACATGTATCTTTTTGTCAAAGAAAAAGTCACATACAACACAAGCTTCTAAAGAAACATCTCAGTTGTACAAAGTAGAGGCAGATATATTAAACTATAAATTAATATGCAGAGTGCTATTACGCACTTGCGTAGTTTTCGTTGTCTTGAGAAACAGGAGCAGTGATTACAATTACCATATAAATATATATATATATATATATATATATATGTTCATGTTAACCAGATTATAAACTGAAGGAGATATAATCATCATGGTACATCTAAATTATAGTGATAATTATTGCATCATATTAATAATCTGCACATAGACTTATATGTCTATAAAATTGTTGTTACTTTGGTATGATAAGGTAACAGTCTAGGAATTGGCAGACCCACCTCCCTTGATTGAAAGAGGAGAACCACAGAGAGAGGTATTCTCGGTTTTGGAATTAAGAAACACCACAATCACTGTTATGTCATCATGGATGTGCCTTCTCATCCCTTGCTCAATCTTTTGGAGGTCAGAAAGTCTCATTTCACACTTCTTAGCAGCTTCTCTAAGTGCAGCTTTCACAAGTCTTCTGGCAATTCCCTGTTACATGAAACAAATGCATGCCAACCACCCTAGTTAGAAATAGAATGGAAGTGGATGGGATTCATACCAAAGAGGACAACAAAAGCCTTGTATGGACATGAAGAATTAATGGAACCTTACGTTAGGTGGGTTGTTGCTGACTATGTTAACAGCCTCTTGGTTGGTAAGATGCTCCCATAAGCCATCAGAAGCAAATATGAGAAATTGATCATCAGGATTAAGTGTGTGGGTTGATGTTGATGGCTCACAACTAAGAATTGGCCTGAAGAACGTTTCTGCTAGCCTATACTTTGCTGGTAGAGGATCCCTGTTGAATTCTGCTTTCTTCAGATATGCATCCCCAATGGATCGTGAAACCTGCCATAACAAGTTATGTTAACATCATATTCTAGTAGTAAATTAAATGGTCCTAAGTAATTATCAGTCAAATATGTTTGTTCCTGCCTATGGTCTTGTGTAGTGGACGCACTAACTCATAACAAATAATAGCAAACAACTTAAAATCTTCGTAAGTGACAAAAGGAAATATGTATTAGATCTGCCAAATTTGTACCTGTATGAGGCCTTTCACACGCCAAACGTTTTGTCTCAAAACCACGATTTGTGAATCAAAGGGGTGCTTTGATCGAAGCTCATCTCTCACCGTTTCTTGGTTAACATTGTGCTCTGTAGATAATTGTATAGCTTCTGTTTCCCTTGTTGCTCTCTCTACTCTTCCTAAAACCACCCGGGAATCTCCAGAATTTGCAATATATATCATGCCATTGCAAATTACCCCCACCAAGCAACAAGTTCCCGTAGATGCAATCTGAGGCTTACTCAGCCACTGTTTCTTCACAAGAGACAGAAAGCTCTTCTCTGTGGCTGAATATGCCTTTTTGATAACATGTTCTGAGATACCTTGATGCTCAGCTGCGAGCCCTGGATCACACATAAAAGGGACTCAGCGAAGTGACAAACTGAAAATAAAGGTTGGCACTGTGCATGAGGCTAAGATATACATAGTAAGTTCTATTTTTGGTTGAAGGGTCACTAGGAATTTTAATTTGAGAGTTTGAAGTACATGATCAATTGATCATATATAGATAGACAAAGTGGCTTGATTCCTTAGTTTTCAATTCATTTGAAAATCTGCATAATACAAGATCTGGATAAACAATATTCTGAATGACTTTGAATCTATATGCTCATTATAAAGAAGTAAAGCATACTTTTGAGATTGCAGAAGAGATTGTCACTAACAAACTGTGAGGCCTCGCTTCCACCATGGCCATCATAGACACCTATAAAGGTCCCTTGAGGACCTAAGTTGTTGGAACTCAAAGGTCCAGATTCAAGCTCACTTCGATCCTCTAATGAACTATTGGCCTGAACCACAGCCATTGAGAATTCCCCATAAAGATGGTTCCCCAAATCCTTGTACCATAGAAGTCCATCAACTCTCCCACTCCCATCTCCTTCATCACCATCAGCAATTGGTTTCCAACAGGATCTAACCATCATTTGGCTACCCCTTTGTTTTACAAAACCTTATGTTTAGCATAAACAGCCCAAATGATCCACCAACTGAGCAAACACCAAGTTCTACTTGATTTTGCTTCTAGCACGACCTGAGTTCCTGAATTTATATATACACACACTGCAGAAGCAGATAAATTGGATAAGAACAAAATTGAGATAAAGGCAAAAAAGGTATGGGAAGAACTTACTGATAAAAATGTACCTTGGAAGGTGAAAACAACTAGTTTTCATGCAAGTACAAAAAATATGGAGGCGTGTAGGTACTTTGTACCTTGAATCCTAGTTGAATGCGTTTGAGTTCAAAAGTGTGGCATGATTCAGAAGCAAAGTTAGCTGTAAAAGAACATAAAGTTTCAATATGGCAGAGTTGGTCTATGATCTCAGTGGGCAAAGAGAGGATTAGATAAGAGAAGGGTTTGGAGGTTTATGGCAGAAGATCGTAAGAGTAGTGTCAGACGAGATCTAAGATCAGGAGGTGAAGAGAGATTTAATAAACAGCATCGTCTGACATTGCTGTTCTTGTCCTTTTATTTGTCCCTTGTAATTAATGTTTATGTGGCCTAGTGGGTTTCTAAACCTCTTTATTTCATGGCTGAGATTTTGAGTTCCATCATCTTTTTCAGCAATAATCCTAAGTTTTTAGACAACCATGTTCATATAACACTTCCACTTTCCAATCTTTTGGGTTAACGTTAACGTCATCCTTTTCCCCTGGTTTAATTTTCGTGATAATCAAAAACTTTATCAGATTTTCAGTTTATGACCGACAAGGTTTTCTCACCCTCTTACCTCTTCCCATCTACTTCATCTTCAACTTCCAATTGTAATTTCTTTTTAATCAACATTTTTCGGACCTTAAACTCCTTAAAGATCCCTTTTTTAAATCAGGAAAACGCAAAACCAAGTGTAAATAAGTGCTTTAAAAAAGCAGAAAGTGAAAAGTAATGGTTCTTTGATTCAAATTGTGGGCGCAAATGTTTGCTGTGTTATGGTCAAACACATTTTTAAGTAAGCAAAACATTATTCACGTTTGTTTGTTACATTACAAATTTAACAAGAAACGGAAAAAGAAACATATTTTCAGATAATGTGTCATTTTGGGTTTTTTTTTTATATAACAAAAAATGTTTTATTTTATATATATAAATAAATAATAATACCAGAATCATTTCCCCAACCTCTTCTGAATATCTCTTTTAATATGGATCTCAATGAGCACTTATTGAGTCATAGTTAATCCTAATTTGTTGTCAAACATTTTAATTTTGTTATATAATTATTATCTTACCTTCTCAATTCCCTTCAATGAGTAGTCAAATTATAGGGACTTTTTAATGAAAAACTATACAATCGGAATAAGACTATATAAACTAACTTCAAAAGGCCATCAAATTATACTTTTTAACTATATTTTAAGGTTATTATTTGATATTTTTATTTTTATTTTTATTGTAAAAATATAATAATTTCATATTTTATTTTAAATTAATGTTTCACTCCAAATCTCATCTATTTATATTATCAAAATGTTTTTGTTTTTAATTTTTAATTTTAATTAACGTCGACCATGATTACGAAACATGTCGACCCACCAACTATTTAAGGTATAAAAGAAGACCTTAACTACTGAAGAGGAATGTAACTTAATCATAATTAAGGAATATGATTAACTTACGAAAACATTCAAGATTAAAAAAACATAATTATAACTAAAGATGATAGGACCATCACCTTCTTCTCATTTATATCTAGTATATAAAGGATTTAAACTATCACAAATAAATAAAACAAATAACATTTATTGTCATTATTAATCATTTGCTAGGGTGTTCATTTTTAATCTAGCTACTTAAAAACTTTTTTTTTTTTCTAAATACCCACCAAGTTCATCAAGGTAATAACTAGAACAAAAATACCAGAAATATAACCAAGTAATCAACCCGTATAAACATGTAAATCTCTTAATATTGAAAAGGTTTTATATAAAAAAACATTTAATATTATATTATATTATATAAAAGTGATCAATTAATAAAAAATATAAAATTAGAGATTTGTTTTTTATTTTATTATTTATTTTCTTGTAATATAATAATTAATATGAATTATTATTTTAAATTATTAAAAAATAATAATTATGTTGAAAAAAAAATTAAGTCTTTTAATTCTTACTCTTGATCTCTTCTCATATTTATATATTTTTAACCGACTTATATTATATTTTTACAATTTCTATTTCAAAAGAAAATTATAAAAATTCATATTTTTATTTTTTATACTTCATTTTTTTAGAAATTAGAAATTAATTTAATTATTTTTCTAAAGATGATTATTAATATTAAAATATTATATTAAAACAATCCCTTCTTAATTTTAAGAATCTCATTAGGCGTGTCGATTTTTTCCAATGAAGTTTTTTTATAACACTCGAGTTTTAAATTTAAAATCTTTTTAAGATATATCTAGTGTAGATGTTCTAAAATGCATATATAATTTTTAACTAATTATATTTTTTTATAAAATTAAATGTTTTAATACTTTGTATCTTTTAAACTCCACTAAAATTATTAAAAAAAGAAAAGAATAGAAGAGATAGTTATTAGAAATTTATGCAATTAAAAATACTTGCAAGTTTTTTAATAATAATTATGATTATGCTTGAATTTAATTGTAATCCTACTATACTACTAATATACATTTTATGTTGATTAAAAAATATATTTCATGTAAAAATATGTTTTTCTTTTTACTATGTGATGTCTTTTTTTTTTCAGAACCTGATGATCCTATGCCACCAAAATCATTATTTCCAATTCACTATGTAAACAAATCAAATCTTTATCTTCTCTTCATATGCAACAACACACACCAAACAAACTTTTTTTTAGGAAGCGTAAGGTTAATATATATATATATATATATATATATATATATATATATATATATATATATATATATAATATAAATAAAAATAATAATTTTTTTTACTTACAAATGTTGTGTGTCATATTTGTATTCAATGTTTAAGATTAATTTTAAAGCTCTTATTCATCGTAATTTTATATTTATGATAATATCTTAGATTAATTTTAAAGTTTTCATTCATCATAATTTTATATTTAAAAAGATGTTTTGATTAGATAAAAGAGAAGATGTAAATAAAATATCTTGACATTGATTCTTAATTGATATAAGATTCATGAATGCACTGAAATTATAAAATTAAACAGAAAATTTTATAATTTTTATGTTTTATCCTAAAACTATAAAAGGAAAAAAAATATGGAAGTGAAAAGAGTGATAGAAAAAACAAATTAGAAATATAAAAAAAAAAGTGAAGAAGTGAGAGAAAAAATATGAAAATAAAATGATAAAAGAAAAAATAGATATTGATAATTATGTGAAAAAATAAAATAGAATTTATTATAACTATTATTATTATATAAGAAAGAAAATATAATAAATAATTTTTTATATTTGAAGGATAATTTAATTTAATTTTAAAATTTTATAATTATATATAATCAAAATTTTGGATTACCATGACTATCACACCTCCCCGTTTCACCTCTACGAATACCAAACCATAAATATCATCTTTCCATCAATTAACAATCCACCAATATCACAACATTTCATATTAATTTGTGATTTTTTTTATATTTTCTTTTTGTTTATCATGTTATAGATATTCATTATTTTTATTGATAATTAATTTTAATCAAGAAACATAACTACGAATTTTTAGTAGTCTTTTTTTTTCACAAAATTTTTTTATGTGAAAAACTTGAACTCTAGTATTGAAGGATTCAAACTTAAATTTATTTCAAATAACATGAAAGTTCACATATCGTGATATTATATGTATAAAAGTTTTTTTTTATAATGTCATTCAAGCATAGTTGTACACACGGTAAAAACATTGAATTGTATAATAAGTTCAAAAATCTATATAAAAGGTATGATTTTTCATACAAAAGAAGATTCTTCATGTGCATGATTTCCTAGCATTTTGATGTGTACCAAAATAGTGTTGGAATGAATGTAAGAGAAACTTGAATATATCTGAAATAAATTTTTGGTAAAGAATGAAGTTTGAAAATTCTGACAGGAAAAGATCACGAGGTGGCTTCCATCGTTTCAGTCTTTTCAGACACAAAAACATGACACACGAACACACTCAATCCATGCAATCTCTAACATTTTATTTTATTCACAGTGCATGCATGTTTGGTATAAATATGTCAAAATAATTTTTTTATATTTTTTTTTGGAACATTCAAGTTATGGGACTGCGTCTGGTCAAGAAATAAATAAATAAAAAGTTAGTGTTTTTTATATAAACTCAAATAATGATGAATAATGCATTAATGTCTAATACTCATTAAAGTTAAATCAGGCAATAGAATGATTGGATGATAAAATAGATGATCTCTGGATTTGATTATGACTAAATAGATTGTGTTCAATTATGTCGTGATTGAATAATATCGTTAACTTTTTTAATATTTTTAATTTTCTAAAATTCAAATTTAAAATACATACAATTTTAAGGAGAGATTAATACCTTAGTAATGCATAAACTCAAATAAATTACAAATAATGCATACAAGACATTTTCCTTACTTTGCCTAATATATATAATCTATCGATTAACGTTTAATTTAATATGATAAATTAGTATAAGTTGAAAATAATGTAATAAATACTTACCTTTTTATCTCTGAAAAAAAAAAATACAATACAAACTCTCTAATTTTTGCAAATCAGGTCAATGACATACATGCGGCAAATATATTTCAAACACATTAGGGTTAGAGTATCTCCATCGCATTATTATTTATTTTATTTTATATCGATTGTATAATACTGTAGATAGAAATTCATTCCAAAACTATAATATTAAAAATGAATAATTTTATGAATTTTATATTTCACCTCTTATTAATATTTAAACCATTTTCTTTATTATTTTTATAAATAAAAATATATTTTTTTTCATAAGCAATATTGTTGGCAAAATTTGGGTCATGTATATATATAATACATAATTTAAATGTGTTAGGGCCATTATTTATTAAGCCAAAAAATAAAGTGATCTGACTAAATTAAAGTTTTGGCTAAAAGCATATGTCATTAAAATAAAATTGTGTAGAGATCATTGAGTAATTTCTAATTTGATGAGGGGCCAAATTGGAAATACTAAAACTTAAGTAATTAACCTAATTTTGGTTATCTAAAGGGTCATGGTCCCCTTTTGGGAGCACGAAGACAGAATGTAAGTTTCATTCCTGTTCCTTTCTTTCTATCTCCATCAAGAGGGAAAATCAAGAGGGAAATACAAGTGCTCTTCAGGTGGAAGACCATAAGATCAATTCAGTGCTCTACAAAGACATCATCATTATGGCTAATTCAGGTACGCTTTCGCATTCAGTTTACAGCATGTTTATCAGTATGAGATTACGTTTATGTTTGATCGTTAGAATCAAAATCAAGATTATTATTATTATTATTATTGTTTTTTCCAACAATTGGTATTAGAGCCGCCCATATTTGATTTATGTCTGTTTAATTTATAGAACCCTAATTATGAAAATTAGGATTAATTTTGTTTTAAACAATTCAAATTACCCAATTTTGTGAACCCTAAGTAGAGAATAATCTCTAATTTTTGTGAACCCTAAAAATTTAAATTTGGGGGTAACATCCCCAATCTGATTCTGCTTGCTGATGGAACTGTGGAGGAAGCTATGGATTATTCTTCTTCTTCGTTTTTCCCTTTTGTTTAAGTTTAAGTTT